AAGTGCATTTATGGGTAGGAGAGGCAGCAATAAGTATTCATGTTTGCATTTGCCTTGAATGCAATGTCTGCAGCTGTTCATAGTTTCCAACTACAACTTAAACTGTATTTAGAGATCTAGAAAGTAAGTAGTCCAGCTTGGGGGTTGCATGGCTTTTAACTCTTGAAGGTACTAGAAACTTCACATGATCCTCTGGTGTTGTGGGATCAGACTTGTGAATATGCTAGCATGAATGCACTTTGCTGAATTCAGAACATGGCCTTGAATTGTTGTGTATGAAAGCATCAAAGCAAAAAGGCAAATCCAGAAGTATATATACCAGGCTTCCAGCCCTTGGGGCTGTGGTGAACCAAACCCTGAGAACTTGCAGTTTCTCTTATGCATGGAGTGTCTGATCAGAAGTCCATTTGTTACAGGGAACACTTGCCCTTTCAAGCAGCATTATACAAGTTCCAGTCAGCTGAATATCTGGCAGAGCATTATGTGAGGAGAGCGTGTCTGTTGGTGGAAACACTTGTTTTGTCATTTTAAACTGCAATGTCGGATTTGGGGTGCTTCATTTATTGTCTCTCTGACCAGTCCCATCTCTGATAATTTCAAGATCTCTAATGGTACCTTGCCTTTCAGGCTGCTTTTTTGGTCCCAGAAGTCCAGTGTAGCATCTAAGTGCGAGTTAGAATGTGAGTTGTCCAGGTGTGTTTGTACTGGGCCATGACAGCCTTGCAAACAACTTTTGCAATTCTTCTGGGTGGGAGAGATATTCAGGGTGTGGGTGTGTGTATGCGAGAGAGAGAGAGAGAGATTCAGGGAAGTTTGTGGAGGAGTTCTATGTCTGTGCAGTAATGGTTGTACAGTGGTACTTCGGGTTAAGTACTTAATTTGTTCTGGAGGTCCGTACTTAACCTGAAACTGCTCTTAACCTGAATCACCACTTTAGCTAATGGGACCTGCTGCTGCTGCGCCGCCGGAGCACGATTTCTGTTCTCATCCTGAAGCAAAGTTCTGAACCTGAAGCACTATTTCTGGGTTAGCGGAGTCTGCAACCTGAAGCGTCTGTAACCCGAGGTACCACTGTAATCACAATTACATGTGATGGTTGCTAGCACTGTGTTCCGTGTATTAGTGGCAACTTGTTCTGTGGCTAATAGTTTTGTGTATTAGTGGCTACAGATGCTGTGTTGAACAAAAAGGCCATCTCTTTCAGATCCTACTTACGGGCATGTCCGTCTGCCTGGGGTAATAAATGGACCTCTGGAATAGATGGATCTTTGAGCCAGCTGGTCAGTTCTGACATAAATTTCATGTTGACCTTTTGCAGTGCAAGATGAATTTGATGCTTTTCTATCAGTTGAGAGGAAACACAGCAGCAAGCAAGGAGGAATATCTTCTTCTTCACTGTGTTCAAAAGTCTTTGTTACATAGGAAAGCACACACTGGCTGAACAGCTGTGGAGGCAGAGCCACAACCAACCTGGCTTTTGGGGGAACATATGCTCATCCCAGCCAGAAGTGAGGCTTGAGGATCATGGCACATGGGTGTGGTCCTGGAGAATGACACCACACTGCTCTTTGCAAGGCATAGGAATCAGCAGCATGAACTCTGAGTTGGCAAGCATTTTGGCGACTGAAATCTTGGTTTAAGGAGCCATTTGGCACCTAGCTTATATATCCCGTTTTCTAATACTGCCCTGAACACTTGATAATGCTGTATAAATATATTTTGCATTAAACAGGCAGGGGAAACATCATGTATAACTTGTCAAGAGCCAGATAAAAAGGGGGAAGGATCCGAGGTTCCCTTTCTTAAAGGAATCCTGAGTTTCCAACCTTTTATCAGAGTGTTTGTCAGGTTCTGTAAGGTACATTTATTTGAGTACTAAGGAGAGAACCATGGCCCACATCTGGCTGGTGGAGCAGTGCTCTCCACTCACCAACCCAGATCGCAAAACAAGCAAAATATGCTAGCAGACTTCTTCCTTCCTAGCGTAGAGTATGCCAGACCCTAGGCAGAATGTGTTTGCTTGTTGATGTCACACACGGTTGCTGTCTAGACACAGGGAAACTAGGTGTTATTACTTAACACAGTGCTCACTGTACTTCCATGGGCCAAATCCTTAGCATCAATATTGGGTAATGCAGTTTGGCTTATAAAATGGAGCACGGAGAGCTGCAGATCAAACCATCTGAAGTGCACCAGGTTGTGAAAGGCTGTCAATAAGACATGGTTTCCCTTTTCCTTTTCCCCCCTTCCTCCCTTTATTTAAGAGGCAGCAGTACTTACTTGGTATACTAAAATTATCTCTCTCGTAGATAATAGCCTAGCTCTCAGAAGGGGCTTCTGCTCAGTGGCTCAGTTCACATGGAACACTAAACCATAACCAGACCCAATTTATAAACTCATTTGTCTGGAGTGAGACAAACCACAAGCCTGGGTTCAGATGTGATGCAATAGCAAGCCATAGCTTGGCTCTGGGTAGCATGTCAGTTGGAGGACAGGGGAAGGAGTGCAGCAGCTGTGGTCTCTCCAGGACCTCTCTTGGCTCTCATGTTCATACTAAGGCATGAACTGGTGAACCAGGTCTGTATGTTTCAGGCTTGAGGTGTTTCTATTTTAAAGTACATTGAGGAGACCCTGGGGATGTCTAGGCATCTCGCTCTTGTGATGAAATAGTGTACAGTGGTACCTCGGGTTACATATGTTTCAGGTTACAGACTCCGCTAACCCAGAAATAGTACCTCGGGTTAAGAACTTTGCTTCAGGGTGAGAACAGAAATCGCGCGGCGGCAGCGGGAGGCCCCATTAGCTAAAGTGGTGCTTCAGGTTAAGAACAGTTTCAGGTTAAGAACGGACCTCCGGAACGAATGAAGTATGTAACCAGAGGTACCACTGTATAGTACAGTTCCAGTCCTTGGTTCCCGAACGGCTTAGTTGTCGAACAAATTGGCTCCCGAATGCCACAAACCTGGAAGTAAGTGTTCCGGTTTGTGAATGTTTTTCGGAAGCCGCACGTCCGACGCCACTTCTGCTTGAGTGCAGGAAGCTCCTGCAGCCAATCAGAAGCCGTACCTTGGTTTTCGAATGGTTTCGGGAGTCAAACGGACTCCCGGAACAGATTAAGTTCAAGAACCTTGGTACCACTTTAGAGGATAGATTTGAATCCAAGCAACCTTTGTGGGGAAAGGACAGCCTCCTCCATCTGATGGCATCTACTGGGACCACTGCTTGCTCCACTTGGGGATGTTGGTTATACAGTGGGATGCTGATGATGTACTTGAAGTGGGCTTGGGACTGCCCAGAAGATTTTCTTTTCTTTTTTTTAAATAATATTTGTTATTAAATTTTCAATTTCACTATTTCAAATAAACATTTTACAAACTTCAAAATATCCAATGACTTCCCTTCTTCTCTTTCCATGGTTCATTTTACATATCATACATCCATGCATATTTTACTATAGCCATTGCCAGAAGATTTTCGACAGCAGCCCTTGAAAGAAAAAACGGGAGCATTTCTTGGACTCTTCCAGGCCTTGGGTGCATCCTCGCTGCGGAACTGCAGAGAAAGATTATAGGGTGGAGGCCATGGGATGGCAAAGCACTAAACTGTTTAAAGCAAACTAACAATCTCCTCTGGGTCAAAGTCCAACTGGTGCCAAGATGTCTGAACCGAAGTGAAAAAAGTTCAGTTGTCAAATAAGCAATTCCTAACATGTGACTAAAAATATGACTCAATGAGAAGTGGTGTGTCCTCTTGTTGTAGCCCAGAGTGTTGTGACACAAGTTCGCATCTAAATTTCTTCTGAAAGCATAACATCTGCATATTCAGGAACTGTGGCCATTCAGCACAAAACATTTAAGGCTGAATTAATCTAATGGTGATTACACGAACTTGTTCCTCGTGTTCTCGCTAACCACATTTCCGTAACTGATGGTCTTCTAGAAAGGCTACTTTTTCTGGATGCTACCAGTAAATGACTAATGAGGTGCATCTCTTGCCTGCCTGCTTAATTGTAGCATCCAGTTAATGGAGCAACAGTGCTTTTTTGGATTTTAATTTCACATTGGGGCTTGTGCATAGGAGTGTTTAGTGGGCAAGAAAGACTTGGGCAAAGATGTGAGTGGAGCTGTTGGATGACTGCAAAATACAGTTTGTGTGTTCCAGATAATGGTCATGGGATTGTGCTGCTTTTCTTTGCACTATTATGAATCTCTCCAAAGAGATCCCCCCTGCCTCAGATTGTCAGTGCCCATGGCCTTGTATGTAAATCATGTCTAGGGCCTGGTGTTGTGTGTCACCAGAACCGTGGGAAAGTGGGTTGAAGCGAGATCTGTCTTGGAGGCCAGACTAGTCCAAGCACGCCATCCCTACCTTGATTTCTCCACCCCCTGGGATTTTTTTCTTTTTTTAAAAAAAGTACACAGTTCTGACGTGCTTGGACAAGGCTTTCCTGAGGTGGGATGTTAAGTGCTGGAGGAAGCTGTTTGCTCTGTATCTACCTTCCGTCGGTCATAGAGTACCAAGATCTTAATACTAGTTGGCCCACTGAGTTGGCAACGTGTGCAGAATAGTTCTATTTGTGTTTTCCCAATTTCTGTGTGCCTTGTTAGCTGTCTTTTGGAAGGTTATCTTGTGAGCCAGAAATCTCCTAAACCACATTTATTCCCTGTAATCCAGTTGGGCAAACCTGAGCTTTCTTTTCCATTGTAGCAGTGCTATACCAGTTAATGTGACCATTCCATTTTAAGAAGTGCTTTTGTAAACCACTTGTAATTCCACTTTGGGAGAAACGGTGGAATGGTTCATTGTAGTCTTTTCCAACTCCAGCCAGGCAGTTGTAGTCCAAGAGGGGTGTGGAAGATAGGTACAGTGTTTTTTGTTTTTTTTTAAAATGAATAAATACTGGTTTGATTATAGATCCTTCTTTACATGCCTCTTGTGCTTTGTTCCTTTATTTTTTAAAATCACACATATATTGAATCCCCTTTCTGCTGTCTCTGCAGCCTTTCCCCTCCTGCTTCCTTGCTGTTGGTGGCTGGGCTGCTTCTTCCATGATTTTCTGCACTTAGACCAAGCTGTGCCTTAGCCAATCAGTTCAGACCGGCCTTCCTTCACAGGTGTGTATGGTGTGAAAAATCAATCTTAAATGTAATTTTTGTTTTCTTCCATTATGGGTGGCGGGCTCTATTTTTCTCTCGAACTGACCATTTTAAAATTTTGGAATTTCCTCCCATGGTAAGGAGATCAAAAGCCTGCAGGTAGAGTACAAATGTGGGCATTAACTCCCTCCTGCCTCCCCAATTCCAACCACACTTTTGTGCACGGGTTGCTTTAAAAGCCAAACACAGCTTTATGGATTTATTAAGTAGATTCTGTCTCAAGTCATTCCTGTTGGGCCTATGCCAGTGCCCTGTTCTCTAGCACAGTGGCATATGATTTGCAGAACACCTTGCTCCCCTTTCCCATCTTGTTAGCCATGAAACGATTGCTGACAACCACATTAAAGGCTGTAGCTCCACATCTGCGGTTTTCAGCTGATAAAAGGTGGTAAAGGAAACAGCTCTTGGAGGGAAATGGCTTGAAGGAATATCTTGCACTTTGGAGATAGATTTCGCTGTAAAATAAGTTTGAGGGTTTTAAGAAGCTGTACTGCTTCCCAACCCTTTACTGCTTAAATGCCATTCACATATGTAATGTTGCAGCCAAGGAGATGCAGGCTGTGTCCTCAAAATATCTTGGGCAGATTTAACCAGATAAGACAGAGCTCTGCTGTCTCCATGGTGGTAGCAACGTTCTAGATGTGTATTGTTGATGAGCATTTGACAACCACACATGGCCAGACATATTCTATGTACACATGGATGTATTATATGGAATGTCGCTGTTTCCCATCATGGGTTTGAAAAAGCCATTAACCCTGGAGCTTTGGAAAAATGAGAGTGAGTTGCATCCTTCTCTGCCCACCTTTCTGGTCCTGGCTCTTGGTATCTTTCTGCCCAATATATAATCACTGTGTTGGTAGGTCACAAAGCAACCAAACTTGGCCTCCCCCAGCTTGGTGCCTTCCAGATGTTTTGGACTACAACTGCCATTAGCCCCAACTAGCATGGCCAACAATTGTGCTTGATGGGAATTGTAGTCCAAAAACATCTGGAGGGCACCTGGTTGGGGAAGATGGGGAAGATGGAACTTAACTTCTTGTTCCCAGCTGTGACATGACATTGAGGAATTAAAGGCTATTGCACCCTGACAGGAATGCACAAGAACATAACTGACAGGCAGTTTCCTGTTTAGGAGACAAGGACCTGGGCTCTAGACAGGCCAGTCAGATCTGTAAGTGCTGATGCAGTGGAATTTGGAAATTGCAGCCATATCAAAAGGCCACATGTTAAATATGAGGCGGCTCTTGCGACGACCTCTTCAGGATTAATAGGGCAGTATTGAGGGATCGCTAAGATTTATTTACAAAAAAATCTATTCTGCCAACATTAAGGAAAAAAGCCATGGCAGTGGGCAGCATAAGATGAGCAGTAAAGCTATATTCCAAAAACCAATACAAAATGCATCACAAACCAGAAGATCAGCTTAATACCTCAAATACATAATTGGATCATTTCCCAGGGGAAAGCCTGGATGAGCAGATGAGCTTTTAAGCAGGCCCCTAAATGCCAATACCGTAGGTGCCTGACTGATGTTCATTGGGGGCGCATTCCAAGGGGTTTGTGCCGCCACACTGAACAAGTCCTGGTCTTAGTAGATATGAGACAGATCTTGGGAGCATGTGGCACTACTGAGAGTGTCACTCCTGAGGATTAACAAATGGTTGCTCTGTGTTTAAAAGCCAGGGCTATTTGGACCAGTCTTGCGCTACAGGAAAAACGTTAGTGCTGGATACATAGACCAAATTCCTGTTCCCTGGCCAGGGTTCCCTCTCCTATGCATTAAAAAGCACACAGAGCTAAGCTTGCAAAGGCAACATATACCAGATAGCTTCCAAATAACCCACAAACTAATTTCATTTCTCCTGCTTGTTGTTTCCTGCTCAGAGTGGGATTCAACCAAGTGCTTCATGTTAGAAGGGTACACCGTCCACATAACGTGAGGGATTTGTTGGGAGCAAGTGAGCTAAACTGCAGGGGAAGTATAGAAAAGGCCATAGTCAGCCTAGAGGGGAAATCGTAGCCACCCCCAATAGGGCCACGGGTTAAAATCCTGAGTATTCCCATTAAAACTGTCCCTCAAACTTCTATGGGTGCCAGAAACCTGGGCCTGTCCTTCCCAGAATCTGGCCTGCACTTTTGAGAAGAGCCTGCAGAAAAGAAGCCATGAAACATAATTTGCCATGGCCACTTCTCTCCTGAAGGAGCACCCTTGTGAATCAAATTTCCTTTTGCACTTGTTTGCCTTGGGGAGGCTAGGAGGGAGAAAATTTGTCATCTCCTTCCCCTGCTCTGTTGATTTGTGGGAGGAGAAAATGAAGCAAAACTCTGGCCTTTTCCCAAGTTTGATTTTTTTTAAACAACGCAACAAATTCTCTCTTCTGTGACCTAAATCTTTCTCTTCTTACTTTCTCCCCAACTCTTGTGTGTGAAGTGAGGGGCTCCCTTCTCCCCTCCAGCCCCCTTTTCTGTGTGACGTCCGTTCCCTCCAACCCCGTGGCATCTCCCTGCCTTGCACCCGCCCTCCCCCCGTGCGGGGCCTTCACAACCATGGATGACTCGGAAGTGGAGTCGACTGCCAGTATACTTGCCTCCGTCAAAGAGCAGGAGGCGCAGTTTGAGAAGCTGACGCGGGCACTGGAGGAGGAGCGGCGCCATGTCTCTGCACAGCTGGAGCGCGTCCGCGTCTCCCCGCAGGATGCCAGCCAGACCATGGCCAACGGCACCCTCACCCGCCGGCACCAGGTAAAATCACCTCAGGTGAGGTGGGCAAGCGGGATGCTTGTCGGCTTCTGGACTCAAGTGGTGCCTGCTGGAGTGTCGCCTTGGTAGTGTGGCTTCTGTCGGGGATGGTTTGCGGGGCAACTTGGCCCAAGGGCTATGACATTCTGCACTTTGCATAGCTGTGTCTACAGGCCAGTGCCTGTTCAGTGGCTAACCCCAGACAACAGCTCTGTTTAGGAAGTGGTGTCATGGAGAGGTTGAGCAACCAGTGTTGAGTGAGTGGCTAGATTTTGCTTTCACGGAGCCTAGTGTCATATGAAATAAAGGCCACCATCCATGTTGAAGTAGAAACTGAAGTGCTTCTGCTTGGGAGACAGACCCTCCTTTATAGGAGTCTACCTCTTGGAAAGTGGTGGACTCTCCTTCATTGGAGGCTTCTAAGCAGAGGTTGGCTGGCCATCTGTCAGGGATTCTTTGGCTGTAATTCCTCCATTGTAGAGGGTTGGACTAGTTAAGCCCCGGGGTCCCTTTCAACTCTGATTCTCTCCTTCCTATTCCCATTTTAACTCCTGAAGACCAGTAGTATATCATACCATACTTAGAAGTCTGGCTCACCTATAACACTAAGCCCAAACACATTGAAGTGTGGATGAGTGAGCCTGCAGGTACTCGGAGCAAAACGTGCGGCCACTTCACATCTCTTCTAGTCCTGCTGCCGCCGCCACAGTACTAAGAACTAAGCCATGGTTTGGCTTATTGTGACCTTCAAGACCAGGCTCATGGTTTGCCTCACTCCAGATGAGCCATGCATGGTAAGTCATAAACAAACCTTGGCTACAATCTGTGGTTTGGATGTAATGCTAGACCAAACCATGGCTTAACTCTGGGTAACAGCAGCAGGACAGGAGCAAACCAGCTGTGATTTTTGCCCAGAGTACCCCCAAACTCATTCCCTCATGGTTAACCATGGTTTGGCTTAGAGTTAGGCTTGAAGTGGCCGAGTGTGTGCTTGTATTGATTACTGATGGTTCAGAGTTCGTATCTGTGTAACGGGATGCCCAGCAGAGGAGTGGAGTTAGCTGCTGTATTGCTTTCTAGAGAACATCCTGGATATGGTGATCTTAGTGTAAAAAATAATAATAAGCCAGAGTTCTTCATTTAAGCTGCTGTAGAACAATCAAAACTTCCTTGCCCTGGCTGCTGGTCATGTATCTGGCAAAAAGAGATCTCTTAACAGATGAGGTGGACGAAAGGAACAATAACCCAAAGAATTACTGACTGCTGAAAGCCAGACAGTAAAACGAACCTCTCCTTGCTCATAATGGCAACCCTCGTCCTTTGATAGCAAAATGCCCTCAAATTCAGACACGCCAGGATGAAGTAGCATGAAGGAAATGTCTCGGGTAGATGTGGAGAAAAAAACCCCAGATGACTTTTTTTGAGGCTTTTAAGCCAAGCTCATCTTGCCTTTCCCTTTCTGTTCGATTACTGCTAGCTATTTGCGTTTTGTACTTCTCAACCTCAGGGGTAGGGTTGAGGAAGTAGACAGCGGCAAAGGATACTTACTAAGCTTGCGGTTGCTATTTTGAGTCCTGTTTAGTCGAGAAGTTCTGCCCCAACAGGGATGGAAACTGTTCGGGATGCACACAAGAACAGAGCTGCAGGGGTCTGCAAGGTGGTGTTGAACTTGAGTGGTATGCTTGGAAGAGTCTGCATTTAATTCCTTTTCACTCTGGAGGGGAGAGGTCTGCTGAGATGGGTCACCCTCATTCTTTTTGTAGGACGGAGATGGGACTTGAGACTTCTGAGCTGTTGTGGCCATGGGCTGCTTTTCCCAGTCTCTGAACTGTTTTCTCAAGGTGATCTTCCATGTGCTTTAGTTAGCTCCCTTAGTTAAGAGCTCTTGGTGCCTTTTGGGTTGTGGCAGCATGCAGTCCTTTTGAGTTCTCTCTGGGATGCTGCATTCTCTCCCTGCATAGGGTGTCATAGATGGACAGGAGAACTTGTCCGTTTCTCTCTCCACCTGTGAGGAAGCGTAAACCTCTTAAGAAGCTACCTAACACTGTGCAACCTATATGTATTGTGTTACTTGCTAATTGCGCCAGGCCAGCCTTCTAGCTTCTTCACTTCATGGTGAGCCGTAAATTCACCATGGCTGAACTTGCTCAATTGCCACAGGTGACTTCCACTCCTCTGCCCCCTTATTTTCCCTGATGCTGGATACAAATGCACCACTATTTTCTTTTACAGAACGGCCGTTTCTTGGGCAATGCTGACCTGGAGAGACAGAAATTCTCTGAACTGAAACTCAACGGACCACAGGTAAAGAACGGAACTGAAAACTTCTTTCTGGCAGGTGGCACTAATTTGCTGAAGGTGTTGTTGCTTTTTTCAAGGGGATCTAACCTGATGTGAAAATTCGGGCTGGATTCTTTGAGGTTCTCCAATCTGTAGCCTGTGGTGGGTGGGATGGGCCTACGTTTTTCTTCCATAAAATGTTGAGAAACCGTTATGCACATGGAGAGGAAGTCGTGAGTCACTTTCTCTCCTACTCTTGCGTTGAATGGAAAGCCACTCGGTGGTTGACGTCCTATTTTGTTGCATGAATTTACTGTGGTTTGAACTGGAACTTGGGTTCAAAAGCCTTAAATAGCAATGTCTAAAGAGAAAAAAACCCCTTCTTGTGTATGCGCTTCCTGAGAGAGAGACTGGGTATTAAAGGGAACTTGGCAGGTTGTGCCTGGCTTATGGGAAGTGTGCAGAATTGTCTGGGCAGAATTGGGCTGCTGCTGATCTGTATCTTCATCTCCTTAGGACCACAGTCACCTCATATACAGCACCATTCCTAGGATGCAAGACCCAGGACAGATTGTGGAAGAGACCTACACTATGGAGGAGGACCCCGAGGGTGCCATGTCAGTTATTTCGGTGGAGACCTCTGATGATGGGAAAACTCGCCGTACAGAGACCACGGTGAGAGGCTTGGGAAGAATTGCAGGTTCTGATGTTGTGAAATGTGCCCCTTATTTAGGAGCTGGGTTGGGAAGAGATTAGGCTTGTGTGTACCAGACACTTGACAGCAAAGAACCGCTGGGGCTTAGAACACCCAAACAAGCGTTGTTTTAAATTTCCATTAGTGGCAGCTGCCTCTATGCAGTGATCTAAAGTAGTTTTCGCTGCTTCGTTTGTTATCCCCAAAAGTCTATGCAGGCACAGTGAAGGCAACTTAATTCACCACTAGAGGGAGGTCTGTAGGATTGCAACCGCTCCCCTCCCTCACTTCTGGGAGCATGAATTCAACCTGCCTGGCCTAACTGCCATTCATGTTTATTGGTGGTGATGTAGACAGCTGACAGAACTCACAAAGGTAACCATTTTAACAGAGGAGCAGGATGTAAGCTGGACAGGAAGGAGGGAGCATGTGATTCTGCCACCAGCTCCTAATAGCTTAGCCAGGCTTAACCAATGGGCAGTATTGCATTGCGCTTAACCAAAGTGTCCCAGAAGCGGGATTCTGAGAACTGCAGCTCTGCCAGTGCTCTCAGCAAGAAAACATTTAGGGTTGGACTTAACTCGCCTGCAGTGCACAAGTTTTGCAAGCACCTGCAAAGGTCTATGAAAGGAGTACCACCATATGGTGTTGAGCTTCCCACTTGCATCATGGCTAATGGCAAAGGATGATGGGAGTTGTAGTCCAGCATCTGGAGGGTGCCACATTAGCTACCTCGCCGTCTAGAAAGACGGCCCAGAACAACAGCCATGGAGGGTAAAAAGAGCAAGGCCATGTGGAAGTAATGGGAAATACCACAAAGAAATCAGTGATTCCAGCTCGGCACTGACTACTTTGGGGTCAAAGGCGCTGGCAGATGCCTAACAGCTTCCGTTACTGTTGTGTAGGTGAAGAAGGTTGTGAAGACCATGACCACGCGCACAGTGCAGCAAGTTCCTGTTGGCCCCGATGGGCTGCCTGTGGATGGCTCTCCAGTCCCCAACAACTACATCCAGACCATGGATAGGAACTTCAGGAAAAACACCAACGGCGGCCCTGGGGCCTACATGAGCCAGCCGGGCACAGCTACCCTCCCGCGAAACTACCACTACCCAGACGGCTATGGCCGCCCGTACGAGGACAGCTACCACGGCAGCGAGCACAACTACGGCAGCCTGTCCCGCGTGACGCGCATCGACGAGCGCTACCGCCCCTCCATGGACGGCTACCGGGCCCCCAGTCGGCAGGATGTCTATGGGCCCCAGCCGCAGGTGCGGGTAGGGGGAAGCAACATGGACTTGAACCGCTTCCACCCAGAGCCTTACGGGTTGGAGGACGACCAGCGCAGCATGGGATACGACGACCTCGATTACGGCACCATGCCAGACTATGGTACTGCCAGGCGTACTGGGACTCCCTCCGACCCCCGCCAGAGACTCAGGTAGGAGCATTCTGCTTGGCATTCTAGGGCAGATGGTGGCGATGATTCTGCCATGATATAGAAACAGTTAAAGCGACGCTGGAGGGGTGGGCATGCGCTTGTTCTTGAGAAACATGGTGAAGACGTGCTTTTACCATAGCTCTTTGAGACACTGCTGTCGTTCCGAGTGACAATGCAGTCTCTAAAGCGAGCTTTAGAGTTGTACAGACTTGGCCTTGGGATTCAGGGATGAGCAGAATTTTTCTAGAGGACTCTGCTCATCTGCCTTTGTCCCTTCAGTTAAAAGGAAAAGGCTGAAAATGTTCTTTCCAGTAAACCTTCCAAAAATGTGCCGCTGAATGTCTGGTGATAATTGTAAGGAGCTTGTGGCGCTTGTGCTCTTTTGGGCCTCAAGAGGGAGTATATTGAGAGCTCAGCGTGATGGCTATTTTCTGAGTGAAAAGTCCCCATTCACACGTCACCTCTTGCCGTGTGCTAAGCGATCATAAGCAAGCCACTCCATGAGTCCTCCTCTGCAGTATCCTCCACCTTCAATGTGGGGATGATACTCTGCATGACCCTTGTGAAGAATTCTTGAGTGTGTGTATGAGGAGTGTCATTAAGGTGCTAGATAAGGCCTAACTATAATAAGATGGCATCTCTGATGCCGGTACTATGAGGTACTCTTCGTATCTTACTGTTGTGACAACAAATCCTGTTGTCACTGCAGCATGAAAATGAGCCTTGCTCTTGCACAGCTGTGGGTTCATGCTTTCCATTGCCAAGAAGACCCTGACTGTATGAACAGCATTTTTCTGTTGCGCATACAGGTAGCAGTGATTGGTTCACAGGTGTAGATCCAGGGGCTTCAGGGCTCTGTATCAAGATTCAAATACTTGCATGGTGTATAAATCTTACTAAATAAATAGATAAGCCTAGGGCTCACCAGGTTTTTTGTGCGTGGCCTGGGGCCATATTTGGAAATCTAAAACTGTCATGGTCACCACAAAATACCCAGTATACCTGAAGGAGTGTCTCCACTCCCATTGTTCACCCCAGACACTGAGGTCCAGCTCCGTGGGCCTTCTGGCGGTTCCCTCACTGCGAGAAGTGAGGTTACAGGGAACTAGGCAAAGGGCCTTTTCAGTTGTGGCACCCACCCTGTGGAACACCCTGTGGAACACCAGTTGTGGCACTGTGGAACACTGCCAAAGTGTAAAAAAAATCAGATGTCCAAGAAATAAACAACTATCTGACTTTTAGAAGACATCTGAAGGCAGCCCTGTTTAGGGAAGTTTTTAATGTTTGATGTTTTATTCTGTTTTAATATTCTGTTGGGAGCTGCCCAGAGCGGCTGGGGAAACCCAGCCAGATGGGCGGGGTAGAAATAAATAAATATCATCATCATCATCATCATCATCATCATCATCATCATCATCATCATCATTTCACACAGGAAAAACAGCCAGAACTTACCCCCCACAAAGAAAAAAACCTAAAACATGTAAAATGGGCAACATGCCCCCCAAAACAAATAAAATAGACACATGCACATACACCCCCAAGACACATACACACCCAAAGAGCAGGCAAAATACCCTCAAACAGATTTTTAAAAAGTTGACACATTCATGCTTGCTTTCTCTTGTATCAACCTAATAAAAAGGAATCTGCCGCCCACTCTCCAATCTCAGAGATTTAGCAGGCAGTGGCTTTTTTCCCCTGAGGAGTTTCAAAAGAAGGCTGCTGCATCATTTTTCTTCCTTTCCAGTGAAGAATGCCTCTGGGCTTACATGGGACCCAAAGGCGTTCTGGGAAATGGAAAGGGAGAGGTGGGGCAGCTGGCGGGCCGGCAGTTCTCTTTCCAGCCAGTGCAGCTGCTGCCAAAGTGTAAAAAAATAGGAACAGCAACAACAACAAAATAGGTAGTGGTTGCAGTTGCCAGCTGGGCACCAAGAGTTGTGTGTTCTGATGTCTGCAAGTGCTGCATGGGGGACCCCAGACTTAACCTTCTCTTTTCTTGTTTGCCTAATGGTGGCATAGGTTTACAGTCAACTGGGTGTTTTCAGATGGGGGCTTAAGGCTACAAATAGGTCAATGGCAACCTTAAAAAAAAATTGATTTCCCCAGAAAGGGTAAATGGGGTGGGAATTCAGATTATAGTAGGCTGATGACACCGGCATTGTGTGGATGCTGTGAGAAACTTCTATGTGTGAGAAGCACTGATCCCACAGTAAAGGCCTATGCCCTTGCCCTGTACCTTTGGTGTAGTATGATCTTGCGAATATCAGCTTCCATTGAAAAAACCCCACATCCCAACCACCCAGACTTAAATACCCTGATTTATTGTGGAGACACAGGGTTGATAATTTATCTTAGCTATTCAGATAGAAAGAGGGTTGTTAAAAGTTCAGGCTTTTGGTAAAATGGAGCTGAATAGTGGCAAACTCCACAGCACAGTTTCCATTCCTCTTCTGTGGTCTCCTACCTGTCTTCTGCTGCTTCATGTCAGTTTCTGTCTCTGCCTGTCCTTCGCTCCGTCTTGACCCAGAGTATTCATCCTCTGCACGATTTCAGTTCTGTTCACTCTCTTCCACTGTATATTCTGCAGATTAAAGTACATGGATTAAAGGTATGTAAAATGACTATCTTGTCTAATACTCCTTTGCTGGTTGACATTGCTGTCAGAGAGGAAGAATTTTGACCACCTAGGCTAACCCCTGAAGTAGATGACTTTGTCATTAATCGGTTGTGGTAGCTTTTGGCTGCAGAACTGAGGCCTAGAAGGGGAGAAGTGATGTCTTCTGCTTGACCTGCACAGCTTCTAAACTCTGCAGGTTTTTGATGGAGCAGAGTGATGGCTTCTCTTGCCTGACCGACTTCACGAATGTTAACAATGGGTTTATTTCCCAGGACTCATCAGGGTAGAGTAGGTTAGGGGAGGCTGAAATTCTGCAAAACCTTCTGCTTGGGTCAATGGACAACTTCATCCAGTTTTGGCTTCTCAACAGATAAACAAGATCTCCAAGAATGCATAGGAGATCTGTGTTCAGGATCTCCTGAGGATTCTCAAATTACTTCGGAGCAGCTGCAGTCCTACCCCATCCCAGTTTGGACTGCTCTTGCTGGACAGGTGGTGATGGTGCAGTGTTTTGTTTTTCCGTGGAAATGTTTCTGTTTCATGAGTTCGTCCGGAACAATAAAGGGATGTTTTGATGCTGTTTTGAGCATGATTTGGTGGAAAGGCGGGATACAAATTTAACAATAACAAAAATAATGCCTGAAAACTCAGGACTGCTTAAAATGCCCATAACCTCAGGCTTTTTTTTGCTGCTAATGCATGTGGCATCTTAAGTTTAGCCAGAGGAGTGAACAATTAAGCGACTTGCTCACATGATTATAGAAAAGCGGCTCCTTCCTGTTCTGTATTGTTCTGACCTGTGACCTGCACAGTTAACATTGATGCATAAAAGCTGCTGCAGTAGAATTTCCAAGCGTGGAGTTTGACTGCCAGTTCTGAAATTGCTGTGCTTTGTGCAAGCAAATAAATGTTGAATAAACTATTTATTATTTATATTTATTATATTTCCCACCTTTCCTCTGAGAAGCTCAAGGTGGTATATATACATGGTTCTTTCCCCTTTCACATCTTTATCCTCACGACAACCGTGTGAGGTAGGTCAGTCTGAGAGAGTGCCTGAGAAAAGGTCACCCATTGAGCTTCAACACTGGGGATTTGAACCCTGGTCTCCCAGGTTCTAGTCCAGTACTCTAAACACTCTGCTACACTGGCTCTGTGGAATCCATGGAATTGTAGAGGTTGAAAGGGGCCATGAGGGTCATCTAGTCCAACCCCATGCAATGTAGGAATCTTTTGCCCAACATGGAACTCAAACCCACAACCCTGAGATTAAGTGTCTCATTCGTTACCAACTGAGCTCTCTCCTTGTCCTGCCACCTCCTGAGTTGAGCTATGTGTGCATGTCTGTTGTCCATTCTCTTTCCTATGATGGTAACTAGCCAGATAACATCTTTACTTGTTCTGAGTAAGGAACTGAACTTTACTACTTTTTTTTTTTTAACCATTGTGACTTGGCAGCTTGCCCTTGTGAAGAAAGGCCTCAACAGCCTTTTAGTATGTTCAGTGTCCTCTAGCTCAGTAATCTGCCATGAAGGTCAGGAGACCCACTTGCGAGCATTCTGCTAAACTTCTGAGGCATGCACGAAAAACACCAGGAGGTGATGTGGTCTGACAGTAAGCCACTGTAGAGGATTGATTCCCCCCCCCCCCGTCCCGTGCTCTCGTATTTTCACACGGAAAGTCGGTACGGGCTGGTTTGCTGCTTTGAGACGATATGACGGTTGTGATGAAGTTTCCCAGAACAGCTGCCAGGCCCAAGTGTTTCCTTTTGAAGAGCCCCAGTTTGAATCCCTTGCAGTGAGAAGGGAGGGGTTAAAGCTTGGACGAGTGTCTCTTGTATGCTCTGTGATCTAAGAGATTAGGGCATGTAGGGAACAGTATTTGTGGTTTCAAAAATAACCCAGAGCTATGCGACTGTCTTGTATGAACACGTTTTCAAGCTGGAAAGCAACTGCCAAGTCAACGGCGCTTTGCCTCCAGAAGGCAGCTTGGACACTTGCAGTCTGGAGCACAGTGGTCTTCAAACTTCCTTCCTTCAGGGACTTATTTCCACACTGACTTGTCTGATAAGGAGCTGGTATTTGCCTGTCCTTTTGTGTTTCAGTGGATATTAGGGTGCCTTCTCTGTTTATGTCGGCCACTGGCCAGGCCTTTCAGGCTGTGCTATTGTTCTGAATGTTCACTGTTGAATGAACCCCATGCAACAATGGCCATACAAGAAAGGGAGGTAATGGGAGGCCCCGCCTTAGATGGAAGCTTTATTGCTTGCCATAGCAAATTTCCTTGATGGGTTTCCTACAAAATATACGCTGAAAACCACCCGTCTGAAGCAGTGCTTTGGAACTGGCCTGGGCATCATGCAGCTCCTGAGGAATCGCTTGTGAGAATCTATGAAAGCAAAAGCTTAATGCACTTTTAAACAAAACAAAAAAAACAGCAGCTTCCTCATTGAATACAGGCTGTTAAAATGCTGAAAAATTGGAAGTGAGGCATTAAGGCAGGAATAGGCAAACTCGGCGGCCCTCCAGATGTTTTGGGACTACAACTCCCATCATCCCTAGCTAACAGGACCAGTGGTCAAGGATGATGGGAGTTGTAGTCCGAAAACACCTGGAGGGCCAAGTTTGCCTATGCCTGCATTAAGGAGTCAGAAGTCACCCTTTCAGCTCTCATTACAGCTAAATTAGTGGGCTAACTCAAATTTGTCTTGCTTGAACATAAGTTCCCTTCCTCTTCAAATCCTCCACAATATATGCATCATGCCCTGCAAATGTGACTTCAACTATGTTCTTGGTGTTTTTTAAAAATGTGACATGAGATGCAGCAAGAACATTTAACCACAAGCCAGCTTGACAAGAATATGTTTGCTACAGATATGGATATGGAATCTGAAATCATGTTGCCTGATAAGGGATAGGTCGTCCCCCCTAATTTGTGTTTGCAATTTATAGGCCACCCAATAATCAGGGTTCTCTGAGGCAGCTTACAGGATTTTTTAAAAGCACACATAATAGAAAAAACAAAATAAAACCAAAGCAACAGTGTTAAATCACAAATCACTTTAAAACAAAGTGGAGGAAAATAAATTTTTCAGCAACCAGTCTGTTTAAAACCAATAAAGTAGGGGTTCTGCCTTTCCGAAGCTGCAGTGTTCGCTGACTAAAACCCAGTTGCTTTCTGGATTATTGCCTTCTCTGCTTAAAGAGCAGGTGAATCTTGAAACCTGTCCACTCTCATTCAGCCATTTAACTTTGAATCAGAGCAAACCATGACTAGGGAATTGGCTTCTTATTAGCTGGGCAGAGCAACATTTTCAGAGCAGAGGAACACATTTATTCGGTGGGAAAGTAGTTAGGAGCTGAATACTAGCAGCGGAGAGAATGCTTGCTCTCTCTCTTTCTCTTTCTCTCTCTCTCTCTCTCTCTCTCTCTCTCTCTCTCTCTTTCTCTCTCTTCCTATTGTCTCTTTCTCTCTCCACTTTTTTGGGTGGGAGGTGCTGCATGCGTTTTGCAGGTTTCCCACCTGTGTCTTAAAAAACATGGAAATTTGATCATACAAGCAGTTCCACCCCACCCCCCCACCCCCCGGAATGTCTGCTTGAATATTTGAAGATGAAAATGAAGGCTATGCTTTCTGCCCTCCCCATGATTGAAGGTGACATTCCTTGGGGCCACACACTCCTCGGTTGCCTCTTTCACCCCATGGGACCACTTGCTTCCTCCATTCCAGCTTTGGGACCACTCTGTCAGGATCCCACTCCTGGCCAGGGCTTGGATATGGGGATCAGGCAGTATGCTGAGGTTATGAAGAAGTGCCTTCCTCTGACTTGGGCTGGTTTCCCAGCTACTCTGGTGTTGTCCATCACCAGCTCTAATTGGTCTTGCACAAACATCTCTCCCAATGTTGCTGCTGCTACCCACTTCCTTTTTCCCCCTTAACCACAGGCGCCAGAGCCTGATCTCGAGAGACCGTATCCGTGTAAAGCATGACAGCTCCACTATGCAGATATAATTCCTTGTCCCTTGAGAGGCTCCCCAGTCCTGGACCAGACCACTAGTGTGAAGTCTGCGCTTTGCTACTAAGCGGGGCTCCCCCTAAGTTGATTCAGCGAGGAAGCTGCAAAGGAAAGAGCTCTTCCCATTAGGCCCAACATTCATGTGTGCAAAACCACTCCAGACAGTGGGTGGAGGAGGCCTTAGGTGTACGTCCTTGGCAGTGCATCTGCGTGGGCACAAATGACAGGTGTTGGAGATGCACTGTGTGCGTTTACACCCTGAAAGCAGGGTGGGCTGGGGGTTTCTGCTGGACCCCATTTCTGAAGGAGTCTGCGAAGATGCACATCTTATTGTCTCCTTTCGGGTTGCAAAGCAGTGGGGTAGTTTGGCAAAAGAAAAACAAGTCTTGGGTTTGGTCTCAGATGAATAATAATAATATTCTTCATCATCATCTTGGTGTGCGGGTGTCCAGGATAGATAGTATTTTTTTTAGGGGTAAAGTTGGGTAATCTTGGCATTGCTTTCTTTGTGCACGTTTGGTTTGGGTATCAACAGTGTGGGCTTACTTGCTTTTAGAACTATGCATTGCATATGGATATAGATAAGCACCCACGGACTTGCTGCATTTTAAATGCTGCATCCAGGTTACTGCATTTTAAATGGGGCGTGGGGAAGCTTTGCATGCTTTACAGAATGGAGAGATGGAGCACAGCTTAACCAGCCACACACAACTCTGCTCCCAAAGTGGGAGATCGGTTCCTGGTGAGACTTCCTGGGTCCTCCTTGTGCAGTTCTGTTTCCAACAGTAAGAATGTTTTAAAGGAATGTGGAGCCACCTGGAACATTAAACCTGTGAGGCTGATCTCAGGGTCAGGGGATCCTTGGCCATCTCCATCTTTACCAAAAACCTTCCTTGGACACTGTTTAAGCTTCTTCCATGACTGTGAGGACCTGAAAGCTTTTTAGATTATTACAGTGGTGCCTTGCAAGACGAAAAGAATCCGTTCCGCGAGTCTCTTCATCTTGCGGTTTTTTCGTCTTGCGAAGCAAGCCCATTAGCGGATTAGCGCTATTAGCGGCTTAGCGGATCAGCTGATAAGCGGCTTAGCGGATCAGCTGATAAGCGGCTTGGGAAAAAGGGGGGGGGAGGAAAAAAACCCTGCAGGAACTCACAAGACATTTTCGTCTTGCGAAGCAAGCCCATAGGAAATTCGTTTTGCGAAGCACCTCCAAAACGGAAAACCCTTTCGTCTAGCGGGTTTTGTGTCTTGCGAGGCATTCGTCTTGCGGGGCACCACTTTATTGCAAAAGCTGAAGTGCTCTTGGTTTCAAATCTTGTCCTGTCTCTTGTGCTTGTATACTGAGTTATATAGGCCCCAAATGCATCCATTAACAGGAAAACCAAGTGTTAGAGGGACTACATTTCCATGAGGAGGCAAGGGTTCTGTTCCTTTAAGGCAGTGGAAGCATCTGTTTTCCTGCATGTTGCAGACCTTGCATCCATTCATGCCATGTGAAGAGTTTGTGAAAAAAGGTATCCTGATGCTACAGACCCCTGTAACCATTTTGTCCTTGTAGCACCATGATGAAAGGGACTTTTGCTTTCCTTGAGGATGTTAAAAACAGTCCCAAGACCTTTTCTACCACTCTCTCATCCCTTCCCTACCTTCACCTAGCCACTTTTCTCTCTCTCTCCTCCCTCCCACCTTCTATTGCTTCAGTTACACTTTCCAGGGTACAGGGTGTCTCTTAAGAGGGTGACTGGGACAGGTTGGGAATCTCATGGCTGAGCCAAGTTTGCAGTGCAGGTCTTGCTTTTATATTTAGAAGGGATCTTGGGGGGTCAAGCCAGCACCCTGCATGAAATGTGAGACCTCCAGAGGCATTTGCAGTCATTTGCTCCTAAGCAGATCTTGAGTGTGTTCAGCTTGGGTGTGTGGTAGCTCAGTTGTGCCATGTCAGAATTTGGTGTCCTTGAAATCTCACCATCTAACCTAACGGGAGTGTCTGCCTGGCTTAATTACTGCACACTGGAAGTATTGCAAAGCGGAAGGCCTGGCTGAATAAAGCACTGGAAGTCTTCTTCTGAATCTTGGGTGTGTTTGGGGCAGGAGCAGGTTGGATGACCTACAAAATGCAATGCCTGCGGTTTGACACAGATGGTGCCAAGTTGCCCTCTGGTGGCCAGGCTGCAGTAACATACGAGAAGTGTCTATATCTTAAAGGAGGCGAAAGGTGCTGGAAAAATCCCCAGTGACAAAACTACCTGGGAACTTGCTCACCCCTCTTTAAGAACAACAACCATTTCTTCCTGGGCCCAGCTTAAGCCGCTGGTGTAAGCTGCTGTCATTGTTATTGTCTCCTCCTAATTTCAAGACAATCTCAGCACTTGGGTGCTTGACCCCGAGAGCTTGTGGTCGCCTACGTATCTGAAAACTTGAGCAAGAAAGGACAGTCAAGGTGATGCAGGGAAAGGGGGCCTTCTTACTTGGTGATACTAGGAAGTTCTGCTACCACCTGTTCCTGGCAGCGGTTCTCAACCTGTGGGTCCCCAGATGTTGTTGGACTACAACTCCCATCATCCCTGAGCTCTGGCCTTGCTAGCTAGGGGTGATGGGAGTTGTAGTTCAACAACATCTGGGGATCCACTGGTTGAGAAAGGCTTTGCTAGAGGATTGGCTGTTTGGGCACAGCTTTGTGAGCCACACTTTCAGCTTTTAGCATGGCAGCAGTGGGGATGATATGCCACGACTGGGTCGCTGTGTTACCTTATCCTACCAAGAAATTTAAACAGGTGGTTGGTGATGGTGGAACCCCTTCTTAATCCTTGTCCCGCAGATTTCTTCTGTAGATAGGCAGACCAGCCTGGTTCCTGTCTGTGGTAGTGCAGCTGCTTTGGATGACGGACGAATCCTGAAAGTAACTTGCTTCTCTTCCTCCCCCCTTTGCAGGAGTTACGAGGACATGTTGGTGGATGATTTGGCTAGAGACCAGTACTACTGGGCCCCCCTGGCCCAGCACGAGAGGGGCAGCCTAGCCAGCATGGATAGCCTGCAGAAAGGGGGCCCGCCCCCGCCCAACTGGCGCCAGCCTGAGCTCCCTGAGGTGATCGCCATGCTGGGCTTCCGCCTGGATGCGGTGAAGTCCAACGCCGCGGCCTACCTGCAGCACCTGTGCTACCGCAACGACAAGGTGAAGACGGAGGTGCGCAAGATGAAGGGCATTCCGGTGCTGGTGGAGCTGCTGGACCACCCCAAGAAGGAGGTGCACTACGGGGCATGCGGGGCCCTGAAGAACATCTCCTACGGCCGGGACCAGGACAACAAGATCGCCATCAAGAACTGCGACGGTGTCCCTGCTCTGGTGCGGCTGCTAAGGAAGGCGCGGGACATGGACCTCACCGAGGTCATCACAGGTAATTTCTGGGCCTTGGGAGGGAAGGTGGAGGTGGAGGCACCGGAGCTCTTCCAGGCACTCCTTGACCAGGCAAACGCTTTCTCTTGGCGCAGGAACACTCTGGAACCTGTCCTCTCACGACTCGATAAAAATGGCCATTGTGGACAATGCCTTACATGCCCTCACGGATGAGGTCATCATCCCACACTCTGGATGGGAGAGGGAGCCCAGCGAGGACTCGAAACCCCGCCACATAGAGTGGGAGTCGGTGCTCACCAACACCATTGGCTGCCTTAGGTAAGCTGGGGCTTCCCTGCACCTCCAGGCACACCTGCGTGCTCCGTGTGCTGGAGGCCGTTGATCTGCATATGAACTTTAAGCAGACACCTGAGTGACCCTGCTGTAGGTGCCTGGCTGATGTTCACGGCGAGCACATTCCAAAAGTTGGATGCTACCACACAAAAGGCCCTGTTCTTAGCAGACGTAAGGCAAGCCTAATGTTTGCCAGCTTATTGGGAGGAGGCTTTGGTAGAAGTGAGATGAACCATTTAGACTGGACTCTTGGAGGTGAGATTGGTGCCTTCTAATAAACTGGAGATGCTATAACTTGAGAAGACCATAGAACTCCTGCTTTGCCTTAATGTTGAATTCCTGACTGCAGGTCATCGGAGCAATGTACTCTGGTGTCTGTCCCCTAATTCTGGCTGGGCTAAGAGATGGGCCACACAGAAGGAACAAGATGAAGTTGCTGGTCTTCCTGGCTGGTGTGTGTGTGTGTGTGTGTGTTTTGCAGCAGCAGAAAATTGGGTGACAGGCAGTGTTGGAGCTGAAATAGATAGCCCATGAGGTTTACAATTAGCCTGACTAGGACGGTGTAGCAGGTTGTGTGAGGAAAAGGCTGGAAAAGGCTTCAGCCATGATGTCTGAAGGTTCCCAGATTTCAAGCCAGGGGCTTGAAATGTCCACCCACAAACCCAGCACAGACTTGAGAGTGAAAATGTGGCCTAAATTTAAGCACAGGAAAGCAGACAGGCTTTAACAGTCACTACCTGATAGTGTCACCATCTTTCTAATGTTTCTTTTTCTCTCTTTGTAGAAATGTCAGCTCGGAGAGGAGTGAAGCCCGCCGAAAGTTGCGGGAGTGTGATGGGCTAGTGGATGCCCTCATCTACATTGTCCAAGCAGAGATTGGCCAGAAAGATTTAGACAGCAAGGTAAAGGGAGTGTGGGAGGAGGTAGCCCTATTCTAGTTGCCACTTGCCCTTCTTGGGGGCAGGGAGAGATTATTCTGCACCAAATGCAATGTGCTGTGTTTGCCTGTCTTCTGATTTCTCCCTTTTCTGAGAGCGGCATCTAGGTGGTTATCAGAGGCTTCACAGGGCTTGAGTCGGAGAGTCTTTAATTTTCACCCATACCAGGAAAATTGATCCCATTTTGTAAAGAGGAGATTCCCAATAAAGCACATAGATGTATCCATTTTCTCTTCCCCACCCCAGAGCCATCCTTGTAACCTTGGGCATAATGTTTCCCCCGCCTGCCCTTTTGTAGGGAACTTCCACTTCACAAAGTGGTATTCCACTTGGGTCTCTGGGTTGTTTCACAGATGCACTAAGGCAGCTTGTCTCTCCCCACCTCCCCCCAGCTGATGCCTTTTACATCAGGATGGGGAGCTGGATCAGCTGGTGGGCCAGATCATTAATCCTGCACCATCACCCAGCAAGCCGACTTTGACAAAGCTCCAGTGGATTGTTGTAAGCAGCTGGCTGGCGATTACAGGAAGCCCCTTTGAAGCCGGTTTGCAGGCACAGCTTGGATTCAGACAACACCTGCAAATGGACAATTTCGGGCTCACAAATGGTGGCCCCCCCTCAGTTGCACTAGGCAGTTCCCAGTGGGCAACACCTTGGTGCATCTAATCTTGATAGGGCTTGCTGTCAGTGCCCATCAGTGAGGAGAGGGCATATTGGCTCCTGCTCACAGCCTGAATGTGTTGCTGCTGTCAGATGCCCCCACCCCCCAAATTCTTGTCCCAAGGTCTTGTACTTGCTTATTCTTGTGCACGCAACTCCCAAACTCTTGCATTTCTGTGACTTGGATGCCCATCTTGAGGAATTGTCGTGTCTTTTGCCAGCTTGTGGAGAACTGCGTTTGCCTCCTGAGGAACCTGTCCTACCAGGTGCACCGTGAGATCCCCCACGCAGAGCGTTACCAGGAAGTGCCCCTCAATGCGGCCAACAACACCGGTCCCCATGCAGCCAGCTGCTTTGGTGCCAAAAAGGGCAAAGGTAGGATTGCCTTGTTCCCTGCCCAGCCTTGCATGGACGGGGTCGGGCTGGAGGATGGCAGGGAGAGATGTTTCTGAGTGCTGCTTAAGTTGTCCTTGGCCTCATAAGGACAAGCTGCTGCTTTTCCACTGAAGCGTTCTATAGCTGCAGTAACTTTTCCTGGCTCTCCTGCTCTTTTGTCTCTCAAGGCCTGACGACTGGTCTTTTTGGTGTGTCAATCAAGGTGATGGATGGGGGTTTTCGACTAATTTGTGGCCTGTTTCCCCTTCTCTTTTGCTTTCCTTCCAAATGGCCTGTGAATCCTGCTGGCATCTCTGCTCTCTTGCCTCCCTTCTCCCCTCTCCTCCTCCTCCGCCCAAAGACGAGTGGTTCTCGAGAGGTGAGTTGAGCTTTTTTCCCAGGGGGCGGGCGAGGGTGGGACATGCTTGTTTCTATAAAACGTGTGACTTCGCAAGCTCCTTCCAAAGCTTTCCTCTGCCCTCCTCGTCGCTGTGGCCACACCTGACCAGTAGCACAAGCACACAGTACTGTTCTGTACTTGAACAGTACGTTTCCCTTGCTTGGTAGACAATGCTGAGTTCATAGTCTTGCATTCTGCTGGGGTCGCACCTAAGAACTCCCTTCAAGGCAAGGAGCACCGGGTGCAGAGAGGACTAGCATCAAAGCTGCCTGTGAGGGGGAATCTTGTAGGCATCCAGCTATTTCTGGTTTACCGGGTCCTGTCAGGCCCAACCGGCATAGCCCAGTAGTCAAGAATGGTGGGGACCAGGGGTCCAGCAACGTCTAGAGAGTCACAGGCTGGTCTCCCCTGCGCCACACCTTTTCAGATGCAAGCGCAAAATGTGAATGTGGCAAAGCATGTTTGGAGATGCATGTGCTGTACATGGGTGCCTGTCAGAAAGCTGCCGCTTGGCTGTAATTCTCAGCTGAGTGTAATCTCTCTGTGTGAACTGACCTTTTCTCTTTGAGACATGAAATCATGAGATGTCAGAGGGTGGGGAGAGATAATAATGCCCATGGAAAAAGCAGCTAAGTAACCTCCTTGTTGTTGTGCCTGACTTCTGCAGCGAGAGGAGCCCTTTCCTTAATTCTCTGTTTCCTGCTGTGCTTGTTTTCCTTTCCTGCTTACTTGTGCCACTCCTGGTCTTTGCGACATTCACTCCTCCCCCACCCTGCAATAGCTAACTTGAAAAAAACACGGCTCTTGAACAGAGTAGATGGTGCAGATTGGGAGAACGCCAGCTGTGCATTATTATGCTCAGTTTGTATTGCCTCCCAAGAAAACCTCCCTCTTGGATCCTAACCAAAGACATTGCATTGACTTGCACGCTGCATGTTTCCTGGGTGCGGGTGGTGAAAGTGCCAGAGCAGGGCGTGTGATGCAACAGCTGCCTGAGGCAGGAGAGCACCGGCCCTAATCTCAAAGCTGGTGTGGCGTGGTTAGTGCGGAACAGCAAGAAGTCAGGCCTGTTTTGCTTGACAGCTGTGCAGGGCTGCTAGTCTATGTGCTTCTCTAGCCTTGGCAGTTTTGAACTGAGTAGAGTGGGACCATAGTTCAGTGGTAGAAATCCTGATTTTGAAAAATTCTTCTTTCAGTTTCTAAAAATACATATAACAAACAATTCCACTATACACCCACCCCACAGGAAGCATTCCTCACATATGCAATGTTCAGTCAAATGTTAGTAGATTGTTTAGAATAGATTGCATCCGTTAATTCATTCCTGGAATCTCCAGTTAAAGCAAGGGTGGGATGGGGGTGGAAAGAGCAGAAGTAGAGCCTGCTGGATCAGGCCAATGACCCTCCGGTTGCTGCTGGACTCCAGCTCCCGTCAGTCCCAGCCAGCATGCCCAGTGCTCAGGGATCATGAGAACTGGAGGCCAGCAACCTAGGGAGGACCGCAGGTTCCCCACCCTTCAGTAGAAGGATCTCTGGTGGCAGTACTGCACAAAGACTCTGTGACTGGAGATCCACTGCCAGTTATCGCCAACTGTATGGGGGTCAGTGTGTTGGTGATGAAGAGCTTTTGGAAATTCTCCCTCTCTTCAGTTCCTTTTCCTAATATTGTTTGTTTGGGTTTCCCTCCCTACAAGGTAAAAAACCGGCAGAGGATCCTTCTACCGATATCGTAGACTTCCCCAAAAGACAAACCCCTGCAAAAGGTAATGTTTCTTACTCTTTTTCTGGGCAAGGGCAATGGCTTGTCTGATTTCCCATAGTAGGGAAGCCTCTCTGCTTGAGACACTGAGTAGCCACAGCTAGTCAGAAGAGACAACACAGAGCTAGATGGACAAAAGTCTGATCTGGTTTAAGGCAGCTTCTTAAAGGTACCCCTTTCTCACTTTTGGATGGGGGGCGGGCGGTGTAAATTTGTTTTAACTACTTCTCCTGTGTGGTATCTTGTTGTGTGAGCTCCCACATGATCAGGCTTTAATGCAGGCAAAGGACATGAGATGTGCACGGGGTTTGGGTGAAGGTGGGAGATTCTTGAACTTCTCAGCAAAGGTGTGGCACGCAGGTGTGCTGGGAAAATAGCCATCCTTGCTCTGTGGCTGCAGTTGCCTTACCTGAAAGGTGACTGAATAGCATTGATCCATCAGAGTGTCTAGGGGAAAATAATACATATTTGCCATCATTTCAGTGCTAGGCAGTGTTGGCACCAGGCAGGTCTGCCATGGAAAGGGTTTTGGTTTTTTTTACCAAGGGTGCCCCTTGGTAAAAGGGGCACTGCTATCCCCACCCCCAGCCACCACCCATATTGTGAGGAGCTCTTTGGGGAAGAGTTATAGCTCAGTGGTAACCATCTCCTCATGCAGAAGGTCCTGCAGTCATGATCAGTGTTCAGAGCGCTGAACTAAATCAACCCAAGTGCATGATAAGGCAGCTTCCTTTGTTCCTGGTGGGGGGTACTACCTAAAAGAGAGCTTGGCAGGCTTGACGTGAAACTTCCTTCTCTCCCGTTTTGCTAGGTTATGAGCTCCTCTTCCAGCCAGAAATTGTCCGCATATATATTTCCCTGTTGAAGGAGAGCAAAACTCAAGCTATCTTAGAAGCTTCAGCAGGAGCCATCCAGAATTTGTGTGCTGGGCGTTGGACGGTGAGTGGGCCACCCGAGAGAGGCAGGGACTGCAAACTGGGATCTGCCTTCTTCTTTAATTAAAAAAGACCTATCTTGGGCAAAGGTTTGTAGTTAAGGCTGCGGGCAAAGCAGAGAGGCCTCATTGTGCATAAGTGAGTAGGAGTCCCATCCGGTCCCTCCTAGCACCCCAGCGCATGTTGAACTGGACAAGCAGGTCCAGTTTAGAAGGCAGCAGCCATGGAAGTCCCTGGCAATGTTCTCTGTGCTCCTTTCATGGCTGCAAGGACCGTCCATTCACGGATCCCTTCGATAGCTTTTCATGTCTAGGCTGTAGTCTCAGCCTGATGGGGAATTTCCGGAGTGGAATAGTGAAGTCAACATTGTGGTTAAGAAGGCATTTGGCAAGCTGGGTGTTAACTGTAAAAACAAACAGCTGGTCTCCGCATTGGATTGACTGTGGACTTTTGCTATGGGAATTCCTAAGGAAACTGAGCTCTCACTGTACTAATGTTGTGGGAACGCAGAGGTAAGGCCAGGGGCATTTTGTTCAGGGGAAAAAAAAATTATTCCTGGGTATGGAGCCCACTTCTTGGGTAGATCTAATAGCTTCTCATGTAGCTCTTTCACTAAAGCCAAGTGTCTTGTGTTTTCTCTCTTTGCAGTACGGTCGGTACATCCGCTCTGCGTTGCGCCAGGAGAAAGGCCTCTCTGCCATTGCGGATCTGCTGACTTACGACAGTGAGCGTGTGGTGAAAGCTGCGTCTGGAGCCCTGCGCAACCTGGCAGTGGATTCCCGTAACAAAGAGCTGATAGGTGAGAGCAGGAAGGGAAGGGACTTGGGTGGATTTCTTGTCCTGTCTCAGCAGTTGGGTGTGGGTAACACTTCGGGAGGGGGGGGTTCCTTTCCGAAACACATGCTAGCTGAGTTATGCCAAGAATTGGCCAAACCAAACACAACTCATACTGCTTCTTGAAAGATGCTCAGTGCCAGGGAACACACTGGTGGTCAGGGTCCCTGTGCCCATAGGTGGCAGGGTAATTGCTTGTGGGTTTGTGATCATTATTGATCAAGCATCATAGTAGAATATTGGAAGGTGGAGGTTGGCGAGAAAAGCCTTTGCCCTCCATCAGCCCCAGTCAGCATGGCCCAAGTATAGGGATGCTGGGAGTTGGAGTCCATCCAACAGCCTCTAGAGGGCACCAGATTTAGGGAAACTGGCATAAAGTGATGCAAGGTTCAAGTGTGTTGAGGGTTTTTAGGCTTCTCCAGTATATATTTATTTATATAAACTTCAGTTTCCGTCTACCCCAAACAACATGGCTCCAAAGTAAGGGTTGATGGGAGTTGTAGTCCCAACAAGAGCACTAGCATTTTGTTATGGCTTTTCCTGTCATCTAGCTAAATAAGGCTTGGCTGGCAACTTGCTCTGCTGGGTGAATGAATGAAGTTCTGACAGTTGCATTCCCTTGATCAGCTGAGAACAGAATCCCCCCTCTCCGCTATATTCAGCCTGTGCCTTATATCAGTTTCATGGTAGGAGAGCCTTCGAGGTCTAAAAGAGTCTGTTGGGCAATTCTGCTTCTGTCTTCTGATCACTTCTGTTTATATTGTTCCTTTCCCCCTAACCAACTCTGATCTTCTCCTTTTCCTAGGCAAGCATGCCATCCCCAGTTTAGTGAAGAATTTGCCAGGGGGACAGCAAACGCCGGCTAAGAACCTCTCTGAAGATACTGTGGTCTCTGTGTTAAATACCATAAATGAGGTCATTCTGGATAACTTGGAAGCAGCCAAGAAACTGCGGGAGACGCAAGGCATTGAGAAACTGGTGTTGATCAATAAATCCGGGTGGGTACAGCTCCCAAGGGGGTTAAGTAGAGGGTGCTTGCACAGATTTCTACAAACCCCCCATCCTTCTTTTAGGAAGCTTATGGGCTGGGCTGTTTGTTCTTTTGTAATAATCTTCTGTTCTCTCCTCCTAGGAACCGCTCAGAGAGAGAAATCAGAGCAGCTGCTCTTGTACTGCAGACAATCTGGGGGTATAAGGAATTGCGGAAGCCACTGGAGAAGGAAGGATGGAAGAAGTCTGACTTCCAGGTATTTGGGAGTTAAGCCAGGGGTGGAATTTTCTGAAAACCCCAATGTTGAGCTTATCCACATGGATTTTTTTTCTAATCCCCGCCTCACTCACCAAGAAGAGAGTTCTCCCCACTTCAGTTCCACAAAAAAACCCAACACTTCTAGCATGTTATGCACAGTCTTAATATGGGTACAGTCTAGGATTCCTAAAGTAACCAGCACCTAAACAGAAAAAATACAGCATTGCATATAACTATACAAATACAGTTATATTATATAAAATTATGCCGCAGAAATATAGCACAACATGTGTTTTGACTTTCATATGTGTGACGGTGGGTTTCAACAAATGAGCCCCCCATCAGCAGAAAGTCTTTTGCAACAGAGGGTCCCCACACGCCCTCCTAATTGACACTGGAGAGGTCAGGGGAGCCCCCAGAACAGCATGTGGGGGAGGAGAGGGGGTGTCATTTCGACTGGCAAGCAGAAATGCTTCCCCCAATCAAACACTTGACATAGTGCAATGTTGTTTCTTTTGTATAATTTTGCATATAATTCATTGGACTGGGTTCAGGCGCTTGATGCACAAGGGTGGTCCAGTGTAAGAGCAAAGCTCTTGATGAGGTCAGAACTGCCAAAATTATGTACAAATCGGTTCAAAATGGATTCCTCCCTCGTCCAGCGTTCTCACCTCTACACCACACTGTGTCGAAAGAGCAAAGGGTGAATCCAGCCTTTCAGTTGAAGGTCTAGGTTCTCAGGGCAGGCTGCATTCAACACCTGCGAAAGCTTGTTTCTGCAGCCCTGTCCTCTTTAATGGGCGTGTTTGTGTCGTGCTGGGGTGCACCTAGAGCCCCCATGGCTGGCAGCCTATGCTTTGAAGTGCTGAGGAAATACTTAGGTAGCTAGGAACATCAGCACGAATGGCAGCATAAATATACCGGCTGGTTCCTTCTTTTCAGGTGAACCGGAGTAACAATACTCGAAGCCAGGGTGGCAATTCCTTTGATGACAGCACCTTGCCCCTCATTGATAAGAACCAAAAAGGAGGTAAGATGATATTTATTTTGTTTAAGACACTCTTCATTATCGCTGAGCTGCAGCAAGAGCCCATTAGTCAAAGAGCAAGATAAAAAAAAGAGTGAATGCATTTGTTTTGAAAGGGTGGCTCAGTGTTGCAGCAACACAAAACGTCATCAGTCAAAACTGTCGAAAGTTTCAATCTGTAGAAGGATTTTAAGAATATTATTATTTGCTCCTAATCAGTATTTCTAGCCTAGTGAAAGGGAATGACCAAAATTGCCAGCAGGCTTTCTGCTGGTGGGAAACTTCTGCTGTGACCTTAATTGAATGGCTTACTCTTAATGCCGCTATAGATAAGACAAGTCCCACATTAGTCAAAACAAGGAGCAAGGACTTTGTTGCTAACTGCTCTGATTTTTATATTCTGTGCAGACAAGAAATCTTCTCGAGAGGAGATCCAAATGGGCAACATGGGACCAGGTATGGTGTGTGTGTGTGTGTGTGTGTGTGTGTGTGTGAGAGAGAGAGAGAGAGAGAGAGAGAGAGAGAGAGAGAGAGAGATTGACTGACTCATTCATTCATTCATTCATTGATTACTGCTGGATAAACTCCAGCACCCTTCTGTGTATAGCTGTGCAGTGTTCTAAACCTGTCTCCAAAACCTAGAGGGCCACAGGTGCTTTGTCATCTAACTCAGTCCTGTACATGTGAACACACCAATACATAGCCAGTCCAGCTGTGCAGATGCTGTGCTAGGTCCTTGCCAGTGCTGTCCATCAACCCCGCAGAGGTAGCTAATCCTCCTGCCACTAAGTTGCTGGAAGTCTACCTTTGCTAGGAGTAAAGCATAACCAGTGCTGTTACTGGTAAGGAAAGTTGAGTATAGCTTCTCTGGCTTCGGTGCGCTTGCGTCCTTCTAATAAAATGCAGTAGGTAGCTGCATTAGGAGGATAGCCTTGCTTTTATGTAGGCATTCAGCCAATGATAGATCCCTTCTAGCCTTTCCAAAATGAAACAGGATTCATCTTTCCCCTCTAGATGCTTACAGCTAATACATTCTCGTTATCTTCAGGTTGACACAGCTTTTCCAGAAACTAAGGCTGGCATATGTCTCTCTCCCTTAAATTAGCGGGCTTATTACACTCTAGGGTGTCCCAGGGCTAGGCAGCATTGTGGTGAGTCCTCTTTCCCCCCCCAGTTCCATTGAGCTAGCTAGTAGGGAGAATACCGAGTGGAGAGAAGAATGCGGAGGGAATGATGGTTAGTGCTCTGTGTGCACACGTCTTCTCATCTGTGAATCAGCAAGGAAGGAGAAGATGATGCTTGTTCCCTGGCTGGCTGGGGAGATGTAAGTTGACTCCGGATGCAGAAGAAGGGAAGAGTCCTTGCTTACCTTGGGCCCATGCGACGTTTCCTCATATCAAGCCTTCCTCTTCATTTCAGACAATTACTCTACACTGAACGAGCGGGACCATAATAGGACATTGGAACGACCTGGAGAAGAAATGGAATCTATGAAGGGAGCCCCACTGATGGTAAAGACTGGGATATGCCCATTGAGGGAGACCTCTGGGGCATAGGTGTTTCTGGGCACGGGTAGCAAAAAAGATGGGGAGAGAACAAGAGAAGCTTGCTGTCCAAGCTTATTTTTGTAGTTTATATATCCCTCGATAGGTTTAAAAACAAACAAAACCCTCAAAGCTTAGAAAGCCAAGGATTTCTAGAAGTGAATAATGCATTGGGAATAGTGTCGGTACAAACCATTTCTCCCCCCCCCCCACCCCATACCAGTGTGTTTTGGGGGGCTGCAGTTTTGTTAACTAAACACCTAACCCATGTCTTTGTTGACTATTCACACCTTCAACTCAGCCTCTTTCATTTTCCCCAGTGACTTCTCAGTTAGACTTCTTGCTCCCTTTTCTCCCCTTCCTACATAACAACCCGTCCTTACTAACAATGTGTGTGTCTACAGCAGGAGGAAGGGCAGGAATCCTTTGCGGAGAGTGACGCGTTGCTTTATCCTCCTATGGTATGTCCCGTGGCTTTGGTGCTCTTCTGCTTCTGTATCCAAAAGCAGGGGAGAGGAAAATCTGGCCTGCTCCTCAAATCAATAAATCAAGCGTTCGCAGGGGCAAAATCTGGGACGTTGCTTAACAATCCACTTTTCAGAGACCCGCCTCACTGAGGACACTTGGAGTTTGGATTGCTTGATTCCATGCCTGCTTGCTCTGTATAAATCTTCTCCTTGTTGCCATTGGACTTGTGGCTATGTTAACCTTGGCTTTCTTGTCTCTCTCCACAGCAGAAGATCTAGAGCTGCCACCATCTGCCTTCTCTGTTTTGGGTTTATAACATACTTTGTATAACACTTTGTGGTGAAATGGACTGACTCTCTCTCTTTTTTAAAAAATCTCTTGGGCACACAAGTCCAGCCACCCAGCGCCAAATGACTGGCCCCGCCTGAGCCCACAGGGCCTCACACCTCCCTGTAGACGGCTGCGCCCATCCAATTCCCTGGACACTACTTTTTGTCTGTATTTTTCAAAAGTGCAGCAATTCCTGAAGACCAAATACTCTCGATGGATCTCACTCAAGCGACTAAGGCAGAACACTATAAAATTACGAGCTTCTCATCTGCAGCAGATGATGGAAGCCCCGTGGTGCAGATGGATCTCAGCTGAAAACCTACCGTACTGGAACTAGGTTTTTTTTTTGTTTTCTTAAATGCAGTGTCTTCTCTCTCCATGGAGAAGAACTCAGAGGACCAGTCTCCTCCTTCTCTTAGCCTATAGAATATATTTTTGTGTGTGATTCTTTTTTTTTTCTTGCAACAAAGGATGCTGGAAGTACTGGAACATTCCTGGTGATGGTGGTAGTGGTGGTGGTTTGGGAGGGAGGGAAGGGGGAGGGGATGACAAAGGAGGGACAGCTTGTGGGTGACTGCCATCTGGGCCATCTGGATGCAAGATGGCCTTAAAGAATATCTCTTTGAGATGACAGCCCTCTGTATCCTCATAGGCTGAGGAAGAATGTGTGGGTTTGCATCTGTTTCCTCCCGTTTTCTTGCTTCTTGGTAGTTTTAATCTGAGAGGGATTAAATCAGCGCCTAGGAAGCTATTTATTTGTGGGAGAAGAGCAGTTCGGGGTGCAGGGGGGTTGAGGGAAAGGTGGAATCGGACCAGAGTACGTTAGGTGAAAGTTGGTGAAAGGGACAGAAGTCTCCCTACCTGGAAGCAGTGATGTTGGCTGTCGAGAGCAGAGGAACCACGTTGGCTGTGTCTGGTTTTGGGGTTGCCGGTGGGTAGTTTTGGCTTAAGCAGTGGGTGCCTGGGTTGGGCTGCAAAAAGTGCAGAAGGCTGTTGAAGTTGGGAAGCTGGGTGATGTGGAAAGTTTGTGAGGGAGGGAAGACTTGTCTGTAAATATTGCCCAAATCCTCCCATGCAGGCAGGGGAATGAAAACTCTTAAATCTGTCACTATGTACACGTGCCTTTCTTCACCACTGTGAAAAAGCTTTGTGCCCTTGGTAGTTTTGTGTGAGAAAGGCAAAAGGGCTTGGGCTGGGGAGATGGATATTTTGGCACAGAGTTGCGCTCCTGTTTCCTCTCTCTCTCTCTCTCTCTCTCTCTCTCTCTCTCTCTCTCTCTCCCCCCTCCCTCTCCCCCCCCTCCTTGAACTAGAACCAGAATCCTAATTGTAATTGCCGTGGTGCATCCTAGTTGAGTGAGAGAGATCAGGAATGAATCTGTCAACCACCTAAAGGGCTCATGGGTTGGGGAGAGGTGTGAAAGCATGGTTAGGCGAGGGTTATGCTGTGCACCTTAATAGCTCACCTGTTTGGGGGAGCAAGAGGAACTTAGAGGGTCTGCTTACAATCTTTGTCCTAATCTGCAAAGCAGCAGTAAAGGGGACAATAGTGACTAGCTCTGGGCACCATATTGGTGACTCCCACCTTTCTTTTTTTCTACGGAAGATGACTGCAGTCTTTCCCTCCCTCCCAGCCTCCCAAGCTCTGCCTCTGCCTAGTAACTGGAAGGAACTCTGTTGCCCTCAACTCCTGGGATTCTCTCCACACTAACAATCCACATTGCACAAGAGGGGGTGGGGGAAGGCCTAAAGTGGAAGATTTTTCGGTGCCTCTGATATGCTCCTATCCCAGTTTTTCTTTCCTTTTTGGGGGGAGTGGGAGGGATCAAACATGCAAATCAGCCTTCTGAGGGAAGAGTCACTTGACTTTTTCTAATGTAAAACACTATTTCCTTTTTTATTTCCAGATAAACCAAAAAAGCCCCTTCCCCACTGACCAATTCAATGCTGTAAGAGGGACTAATAATTCACTGACTTCTTTTGTTTTGCTTTTCCTTTGCACCCCTGGGGGAGGGGAACATCCTGCTGTTCCTTGAGTCCTGTGCTCACTCTGTAATGCTTTTAAAGTGAAATGATTTTTATATAAATAAAGTTTTAAAGTGTGTATTTGTTAAAATGGAATTGCCTTCTCCAAATATTGTTGAGTCTGTCATTTGTTGTCTTCATATGTGCTGCAGACGAATATCCCTGAATATTCACCAAATCAGACTGGATTCACTTGGCAAGAGTCAGACAGGCTTCTTCAGGTGAATTGTAGCTATAAAGTGAACCAGAGACCCTGAAATGTCTTCCCAGTGAAGATTTTACACAGACCATCCACAGCATGGTGGCAGTCGTCCACCTCCATCTACATTGCAACAAACTAAACTTTTAAACCTACCCAGTAAACTTGTCAGTAGGACCATTTCTTGTTTTGAAAGTGCCTTGTTCTTCTTCCCTCTGAGCCAAGAGTTAGGAGATTTGTTTGTTTTTTTTAAAAAATAAACTATTAATTTTTAAATTAAAGACAAAATACAAGTACTGTAACATCAAACATACTGATTCAAAGGGCGGAGGAAGGAGAAATACTAGGATGGATTACAGGGAAGGGAAAAAATGGAAAATAATACCTTATATTAATTCATGCATCTTTTATCACCACAAGCAACAACATCAAGAAATCACTTTATCTCAGTATTCTAAAATATATCTTCTCCACAAACTTAATTGGACCATTAGTGGTCTATGTTCTGTCTCTAGTTGTATTCATGTATGTCAAAAATTTAGCTCAAATAGCATAAAAATGATCTGATTTAGATCCTCCCCTACTTAATTTTTTTAAATATGTGAGATGCTCAGAGAGAGCTATACCTCAGACTCTACCAAGCCAAACAACCGAGGGAGGTGGAAAAGATTTCCATTGACTGGCGGTTGACATTCTTGCTGCCCCTAATAATAGAAACTGAAGGGGCAGCAGTATTGCAGGATCACTAGAGAAAGCCCCCTGACTGCCCACTTGCCATGAAATGCAATGGAAGGTCCAAGCTTCTGAAAACCAGAGTTTCCTCCCTTGCCACCATTCCCCCCCCCCAACAGATGCTGCAACTTTGGTGGATAATATGAACATGAAAAACACTGAGAAAGAGAAGCCTCGTGCAAACGAAAACAATGAACTGGAGTTTTGTTTAGTTCTTCAAAAGTTGAAAACAGGAGTTTTGCCAACATTTGCCATCTCTTGCAACCAGAGGGGGGGAAAGGCAGAGGTTTGAGATCAAAAGCAACAAACCTATGATGGCACGAAAAGGCAATTAAGAAACCAAGCTAGCTTGCCGTTTCTGTAGTGGAGAACTTTTAACATGAGAGGGCTGGTTTGTTTGCCCACCTCACAATATACCTCCTAAATAATTGGAAACGTAGCACATAAATGTATTCTGTTAATTCTGTTTACAACATTTGCTAAATCTTTAGCTTGTCAGGGGGATTGTTTATGTTCTCTAAACTTTCGGATCCTTAACTGCTCAAATATCTGAATTCTAAAGGCTTGATATCCAGTACAGTGGTACCGCGGGTTAAGAACTTAATTTGTTCTGGAGGTCCGTTCTTAACCTGAAACCGTTCTTAACCTGAAGACCACTTTAGCTAATGGGGCCTCCCGCTGCCACCGCTGCGTGATTTCTGTTCTCATCCTGAAGCAAAGTTCTTAACCCAGGGTACTATTTCTGGGTTAGCGGAGTCTGTAACCTGAAGCGTCTGTAACCTGAGGTACCACTGTATTTACAAGCCAGGCAATGGGCTCCTCCTAAGGTCTTAGATATCCTGGGAGGGTGATTTCAAATGTCAGATTGAAGAATATAAGTTGGATCAAATTTGGATAAATGCTTCATTAAAAATTACCTCCTAGGATTCAGTAATCTGCTCTAAATATGATACTTGGGTGGATGTCCTCTTTCTCAATGAAGTAATAGTTCCGCCGCAGATCTAAAAGGTCCTAACCTTTTAGGTATCTGGAGGGGATCCACCAAATATGTGAAAATCCAGATGGAATGCCCCAGGAGCATAGAGAACGTTCACTGCAGATTCTACAGGAATAGTACCATCAAAAGTGTATTAATTATGATTACATTTGTGTGCGAAGCAGTGCCCTGGAAAAGAAAAACCACTGCTGCAGTGATACATGTATGTACATATTGATGTGACACGAAGCACCTATTATTTATTATATTTATTAGTTGCAGGGCTGGCCCAAAATATTTTGGCACCTGAGGCAAGCCCCCAAATGGTGGTCCCCCTCCCTGCCAGGGAAGGAGGAGTGAAGGAAGATCTACATCAGGAACAAGTGGGGAAGAAATATCAATATTGGGATCTGCTGCCCGGGTGGATCCTGTTGCCTCAGGTGGTCACTTCACCTTGCCTAATGGGTGGGCTGGCCCTAATTAGTTGTTTTTTTACAAAATTGAAACTCAAATTGACTTACCAAAAAGCAAATAAAACAAGTATAAAACACCACTTTGAATCTATTGTGTTGGTGTGAATGTGACCATTTGGGCACAAGAGTTTCATATGTGGTGGCCATGTTCCAGGATACAAGTTTTCTGGCAAAGAATCTTTTAAGACATCACTGCTCTTCTGAACCAGATAGGTGTTTTTTCCTGGACCCAGGGCTCAAAGTCTACATCTGGGCTGTCATGCAAAGATATAATTCATTTTCTACTAGCTGCCACAGGACTGGGAATTGTTCACCAAGTTGATTGTAAGGTGCTGGTGGGGGGAGATGTGGTTCTTTTATTTTAAAATTTTTTAATACCTCTCTTCATCAGTAGTTCATGGCACTAGCTGGAAAATTAACACAAAGCCACTGTGCTCTTAGAGGAGAAGCAAAGAGTGACAATTTTGCAACAATTTGGCTCCTTTTTTGCATTATGTTATTAGTCGGGGAGGTTTCGTTAAACCTCTGGATTCCTACAGAACATTTTGGCTGGACTTATCACCAAGGCACCTATTATTTTAATATCTGACAGTTGTCCTGTGTCCTGTGTTTTATCATGAACTTGTGGCCCTTTTTATTATATACCCTCTGGCGCAATACTCCTATGCATATTCTTTTTTGTTACATGGTTTTTTTCCCTGTATTACTGCTGCATGCATGGATGGATGATTAATGTGTGTAACAATATAAAAAGCAAATACTAAAAGTATAAAAACCTCTATATTGGTTAGTGCCTGTAAGGAATAATATCTACCCTCTTATTTAAATACACAAAGCAGTTCAGAAAGTGCTTTATGGTCTTTATGGTTACTGTTTTCATAAGTCTGTGAAAAGATGAATATTTATTGCAGAACTACTTAGGTAGATCCCTGCCTTCCCTTTTTCCCCTTAAAAAAAAAGAAAGAAGAAGAACCAACTTTGAGCTATCCACTTTCTCATATCAATATCCTTTCACATAGGAACATTTTCTTTTTGGAAATGTATGCTCCCCTGTGTAAGTCAGTGAGCCATATTCCTCCTTCACTCTGTTGTTCCATTTCCACGACTTTCGTATCTCCATCATCGGGCCACAGTGTGGTGGTATTGTTATATCAGAAAATCTCATGCATAAAACTACAGAGGTTGTGTCTTTAATTTCTTTCAATTCACTGAAAGAGAGAAAACAGAACAATTTACCCCCTTTCCACATCTCAAAATTGAAAATGGGATGGGGGCATTTCTCCAGATGATTACTTGGATGATTATTACTCAGAACCCATATTATTACTCGGGGGACTTGTTAAGTTTTTGTTTCTTCAGTAAATAAGGTCCTGGAGTTTATCACTGTGTAGAAAGAGGAAAAGAGCATAGGAAGGAGATAACTTCAGTAAGGGCCCTCCTGCATAGAGTGGGGTGGGTGGGTTATGGGGTGGAAAGAGACTGGACCAACCTCTATCTGTCTATCCTGTTGAAGGGCAGCCATGGTACTCAGCACCCAGGAAGAGTAGGAAATTGCAGAAAAATACAACTAGCAAGCATAGGGCTAGTTAGTGCATGAAGGGGTAAAGGACCACAGAGTTATATTGCTAAATAGACTCAGCTAGGTCACCCCCCCTCTTTTCTGGAGAGGGAGGAAGTGACGTCTCTCCACCATGCAACAATATGGACATGTGTAAGCTTGCTCCCAAACTTACAGCACATGCCTGGAACTCTATTCTGTACTTTCTACCCAAGAGTGTTATATGCCTGTATTAGCCTTGCTGCTGCTTGGTACAATGCATGATTAAGACCTTGAATCTGTAAGTAAGGCATTTTAAACTTACTCAACAGTGTGTAGTCTGCTGATTGCAGGAGGAGCAGAACGTGGCCAGCTGCTGTGTGCAGCTGAACAGAATAAAAATGGTGCAACAGCCTATATTCCTAACATTATACTACAGCTTAACTCTGCTACCTGGGCACTCCCTCTGTAAGAGAGTGCACAATGCCCCACATTTTGAATTCAGGAACCCAGCTGGTTTCTTTTGTTGCTTACCCACACATGTGAGCACAAGGATTCATATAGCTTAGTCCGTAGAGCACGACTCTCTTAATCTCAGGGTCTTAAGTTTGAGCCCAACTTGGGCAAAAGCTCCCTGCATTGCAGGGGGTGGAACAAGATGGCCTTCATGGTTCTTTCCAACTCTACATTTCTACAATTCTTAGACCTATTTAATTCTCCCCACAGGAATTTCCCTGCATGTTTGCAGCCTTCAGGGGAGCTTGCACACAAGGCCTATAACAGAAGGCCTCGCCCCAGATGGTTTCTCCTCCTTAAGACAGGCAAGACCAGCCTCTTCATTAGGGTCACCCCAGGCTGATTATGGAGGACTGAGAAGGTTTGCAGATCATCTTGTAATATTTATGTGGTTGCCACCTAGTGGCCAAAAGGCAAAGGTATGCTAAAAACTGTAACAGGAACCAAGAAGTTAAACTAGCTATTGCTCATCTTGCTGGTGTATTTATTATACATGTGAATGCATTGACAGTGGGCCTAGTGAGGCATTTTAAGATCACCAATTTCTGGCTTCCCTGCATGCCCCTTTCCACCCATACAGACATCTGCTGCTGCAGGAGAACCACTTTCCACAGTGGGATCCCACTGGGCTGCAGTTTGTCTGTTGAATACCAGAGTTGTGTAGGTGCAGCAGCCAATCATCTGGATCAGTCTCTATAGAAATGTCACTCTCTCAAGAGGATTCAAAGGCCTCAGGTGCCCTTATAAAGTGACGTCTCTCTACACCAGAATTTTGTATACTTGAACGCCTGATCTGTTTTCCAAGTAGCTCATCAAGGGATAATTGGGCTGTGAATCTTTCACCCATAAGAAACAAAGTGTGAATCTCTTGGCCCCCCAGCTGAGCTTATATAAAGCTAGCAGCTCCCCTGTTCAGTTTGCCTGCTGAGATGGCCAAAGGCATAGCTATGCCTAGTCAGGTCTTGGGGACTGTAATTTGTAGCGTGTGACTGATGCTCTGAGCAGTTAGAAAAGAAAAGCTGAGTGGGCCAGTTTGTGTCAAGCTAGATCCTGATTCTGCTTAAGGATCGGGTTCATGGAGTCTGTAAGCAGAATCCTTCTCTGCATGCAAACATAGTCTGCAGTAAAACAGGAGAAAAACCATTTTGACTGATTCCTTGACCTGAAGTCAGCTCCGCTGGTAAGTAGAGGAAGGGGTTTTGTGCTTTATATCTACAGAGGCTACATCTCAGTGACTGCAAGATTGGCCCTGTGATTTAAGGTAGGTATTCTCTCCTCTCCGATCCCAGTTTGCTATGAGGACACAAGCTTAGTTTTCTTGCATTCTTATCAGAGCCTGTTCAAGGCATTTTGCTGTGGGAGGCAGAAACATGCAAACACTTTCCCCATGTAAAATGTGTACATAGCACCGAAGACTGGTTTTCCTGGGAGTGTAAATACAATAACAAAAAATTTAAAGCCTAATAATTCATGCTCCTTCCATGACACCCAAAAATGGTTGCCTGAAATTTAACATTTTCCTGTCCTTTCCCGTAGCTACCCAAGCCTGTATCTACCTGCAGAAATTGGTTAGCTCCCAATACCACTCCTGGTAATTGACGAAACCAAAGACAATTTCTGAAAACAAATGCTATAGGAATAAACATGTGTATTAGGAACACATGTGTAATGTGCTTCAGCAGCAGAATGCTATTATCAGCTTTTGTTTGTATCATTTGAATTTTGCTTTAGTTTGGCATTCCAGGCACCCTGCTTATGTTCTTTCTTTGACTCAGAAGATCAGAACAAAATATGGTGTAAGCGTGCACTGTATAAAGTAGAAGAATCTGCTTGCATTTGTTCTGGAAAGGTTAGCCATTGAATCAAGCATGGATTAATACAGAAGATGGAGTTGGGTTGACATCCAAATTGATGTAGAGGGTTCCATCTTTAAGATGATTTGATCCCCCTTCTCATTTGCATTCCTTTAACAAAATTACATATTGTGTTTAGATCCCCACTGAGTGTGACACTGGAATATTTGTTTTTCTGTTCACAATCTTAGAGTTAAGCGCATCTACAAATATTATTTAATGGGCTTGATTCTGCTTTGGGTTGTGGCAGTGTGCTTTGCTGCGCAAAACAGGAAGTTGCCTTTATAATGAATCAAATTATGAGTTCATGTAGCTCAATATTGTTTTTGCTGACTGGCAGTGGGTTTCAGGCAGGAGTTGTTCCCAGATGTCAGGAATTGAGCCCTAGACTTCTACATGCACAGCATGTGCTCTGTCACCAAGCTATGGTCCTCTCTCAAATAAAGTCTCCAAGAAAATGAGTGACGACTCCAACTTTTAACTATCTGAATATTAAGTGAATCTTAATTAACTTAATTTGTAGTTTTTATGGATTGTACAAGAACTAATTCCCATTATATGTTGCCCATAGTGTGGCATGAACAAAAGGCAACTACGCTATTTGTTGCTTATCAGAGTTATCCCTCCTGGTTTTCTTTATAGAGTATATATTGTTTTAAAAGTATGTGCTGTCCCAGATTTTTCTTACACTCCACCCAGGGTCTTTTACACAATTCTGTTGACTAATGCCATATTTAAATTTATTTAGCCTCATATTTTTCTGTCTTTCTTAGGCTAAAGAAAAATATAATTAAGGGTCCCTAGGAGCAAAAGCATAAACTCTCCTCAGGTGTTGGATTTTCTTTCTCCTTCCAAGGACAGCTGAAAAAATAAAATTGGAAAAACAAACAAATGAATAAATAATTGAGCAGTTGCAATGGATTTTTAACTGGTGTCCCATCTTCTTTTTAGTTTTCTGATTAATATTGTTTTGTTTTGTCTCATACTTTTATCAATGTAGTTTATGTTATATACACGGAAAAGAATTTGGTACCTTTTTATATTTTGTTTATGCTTTGATTCTTCAAGACACGAGGGGCAGGAGGTTAAGTTCTCTCTGTGAAGTCTTTCAACTTGAAATCAAATGTCAAGACTGGGGAAGGAATAATTTCTGTTCAACAAGGAGCAATAGGAGTTTCTTTCCCCAGTATCTCCAAGTAGGGCTGCAAGATAATCCTTCCTGAAACTCTGAAGAACCACTTCCAGTCAGTGTAGACAAAACTGAGCTTGATGGAAAGATGGTCTGACTCAATATAAGGCAACTTCCACTGCTACCATGCTAATACTCCAACTAAGAGGTTGGAGATAGAGGCTTGATTGAGTCGTGCCTATTAGGAACTTGGGTTCCACCAAAGTAAGATTTTGAATTGTTGAACCAATCTCAGAAGGTGATTCACATAACTATATCCTGGTGGTTTCAAAATGCTGTTGAATAGATTTTGTGAATGATTCAACACTTGTCCACTTTGTGAGTCACTACAACCAGGCTTAATCCATCCTTGGAAAAACGTCAATAATATGGTGAATTGTGATTTTGGAAAAAATATACAATGTCCGTTACACATCTTAAATGACCAAAAAGCCAAATCGGGTTGACTTCATTATATGCAAATGTCTATGAATGAAACTTGAAACTTACTTGTATCATCATGAGACAGAATTATGGCTTTGTTCAAACCAAAGATAATGAAAGTGGACTCAGATGTCCTTGATCTGGTCATTAGAACAGCAAATGTTGGGATTTTCCATTTGGTATCTCTTTATCACCAACACATCTTTGTCTGTTTCTCTCCCCCTCCTCCTGTTTTTGATGCTGGCTGTACATGCAACACCAAGACTATGCTGAACAACACCTCGGCCCCTGAATTCATCCTACTGGGCTTCTCTGGATTCCAGGAGTTCCGGATCCTGTTGTTCTTCAGTTTCTTGGTAGTCTACCTCTTCATTCTCCTTGGCAATGCCTTGATCATTCTCCTCTCAAATATGGATGTGGCTCTACATGTCCCCATGTACTTCTTCCTGAGCAATTTCTCATTCCTAGAGATGTGCTACACCTCAGTCACAGTTCCCCGGCTGCTGGGGGACTTTCTCACTGGCCCCCAAGCCATCTCCTTGCAGGCTTGCATCACCCAGATGTATTTCTTCTTCTCGCTTGGTACCACAGAATTTTTCCTCTTGGCTATTATGGCCTATGACAGGTATTTAGCCATCTGCCAGCCACTGCAGTATCCTGTGCTCATGAACAGCTCTGTCTGTGCTTGCCTAGCCTGCAGTTGCTGGCTGGGGGGCTTCCTGACCCCCTTCTTGCCCATAGCCTTCATCTCCCAGCTCCCCTTCAATGGCAGCAACCAGATCAACCACTTCTTCTGTGACACGAGCCCCTTAATTAACTTATCGACTGGAGACACCTTCATGGCAGACACAATGGTCTTTCTTGTCTCTGCAGTGATTGTGCTTGTGTCCTTTCTCCTGACTTTGACTTCTTATGCCCTGATTGTTTCTACCATCTTGGATCTCCCATCTGCTTCTGGAAGGCACAAGACCTTTTCCACATGTGCCAGCCATCTCACGGTGGTCACCATCTTCTACAGCACTGTCATCTTCATGTACCTCTGTCCACATTCCGGTCAGACTTCTGAACTGGAAAAAGTGGTATCTGTGTTCTATACTGTCATCACCCCAGTGCTGAATCCCATCATCTATACCCTCAGGAACAAAGATGTGAAAAAAGCCTTGGGAAAGGTCCTCAGCCGAGTAAAGAACACGTGTCTGAAGAACACACAGAGAACTGCCCTTATTGTATTGTCATGAACCTCGGCATACTCAAGTTGTTTGTGCATTGCTGTGAATTTGCACTGAGAATTTTGTAAAAAGACAGGTATTTGTTAAATGCATTTTAGTTTATATTAAAACTACATTTCAAGGTCTTTGTAAAGAAACATGGCGACATCCGAAAAGAGTCATCTAAAAATAATTACAAGCAATATATTATCAACACACAATTTGTGCTGAGCACTTGTCTGCAGGGGTCTTTTGTTGCTGGGGTCCATTATTCTTTCAGTGACAGACATAAAAAACTCATGCACTGAAGCCAGGTTAGGGAGATCTTTCATAAGTTCAGGACATTTCTTTTCTACTCAACTGTCATCTTCTGATATATTTACATTACAGTAACCCTTAGCCAACATTTGCTAGGTGTTCCACATGGACATGATAAAAGCTTCAAGCAGAACAGTCCAACTATTAGGACAGAATACTAGCAGTGATGGTGAGCATGACTGAGTGAAAAATATTAGAGCTGAAAATTTGAAATACACATTCAAGAGAAGCAGCTGCTGTTGCCTTTGCACTTCAGCATGTAGAAACCACATATTTGAATGTTCTCCCATGCATAGCCTCACCACCACAAACACATACATACACACACCTTATCAGGGAGAAGGGTTCTATCATAGTCTTCTTGCAGGCATGCCCATTTTCTACTCTTTGGAATTTTCTTTATATTCAGCCATACAATACTATCCTCTGCCACCTGAAGTGGTAAATTCCACCAGAAGCAGCACTTGTTTCTGCTGATCATGGAACTTAGCTTGCAAGGTGGCTATGGATGACTGCAGTCATGAGCTGGTTTTCTGTAGTATCTGGCAAACATTGTGCAACTGCTGGTAGTATTTTTCTCACATTGTGTCTGGATTAGAGATGGAAAGGCCTGGGGAAAAACTGGAAAAATTGGGGGGGTACAGGTCCCCCCCCCATTTTTCCGGTTTCCCCCCAGGCCTTCCCATCTCCAGCCTGGATGCTGTAGGGACTGGCTTCCCACTTGGTGAGAGTGGGGTACACATGTCATACCTAGGATAAATGGTCATTTGGAGCCACTATATTTTATAAGGGGAAGCTGGAATTTTTATTTCTAATCTCAATGCAGGGATCACTTTAGTCCTGGGTCAACCACAGGGACCCCATGTCTATTTCCATTCCCTTCTTAGCTCCTGTAATGGAGGTGAAATGTGATGTTCTTTAAACCCATGGCAATAAGGTGAATTAATGGCTGCCAGAGTGAAGTCTTTACCCCATAACTTTCTCCACGACCCTTTTAACTGGGTTGTGCCCCTGCTCAGGGTCTTTATTTTTGTTGTCACACTTGTGGTTGGAAAGCATTGTCCATCCAGATCAAACTGGTTAGTGACTCTGAATGGCTTGTTTTTGCCTGCCATTGTAGAATATGGCTTCACTTGCTTCCACGAGAAGCCCCATCAAAAGCTAAAAAGAAGTTGGGAGCATGCTTTGGGTCAGTTCACAAATCCACATTCATTCACTTTAGCATCAAATGGGGACATGCAAGGGTGAATCAGCCACCGTAGATATGATACCCAGACTTCTGCCTAGTGTGCTGCTTTTTGATTGAGTCATTCACACATTCAGCTGCTAGTTATCAAACGTACAGTGAACAATTTATTTGAGTGACCAAAGCTCAGTGCATGCACAAGGATCCCAGATTCAATTCCTGGCATATCCCACTTCCAAAGCTCTTCCAAAGCAGGCTGAGAGAGAGATCTGCCTGAAATCCTCAAGGGTTACTGCTGGTCAAAGTAGACAATGCTGGGGTGGGTGGACCAATGATCTGACTGTAAATGGCAGGTTCCTATGCACTCATCTTTTTGAGTCAAAGGCTTGGAGCTTTCTGTAGAGCAATGGAAAACACTGATAAAACCAAATTTCTTGAATTTGCGGAGATGGCAAAATTAACATTAACAAAATTAACATTTTGTTAGAGTAGTTAGAGGCTAATCAAAAAATTAATAAAGAGTGGGAATGCGTTAAGGAATACATGAAAAAAGTCAGTGCTGGAGCTTAATAATTAATATGCAAAAATTTTAAAGGCACAAGGAGATAGGATAATAATATATTAAGGATGGAAAATAAAGTGAATAACGCAACAATAACAAAAATAATAGTGGGTAAAGAAGATCGCACACAGGTGGAGGGAAGAACTGAGCTGTGGGGGAGGGAGGTGAAGGGATTAATTGAAATTGTTAAAGATTGGTATAGGATTTAAGAGATTTAAATTTTATAAAGATTCTATAAGAAAAGCAGCAAGCAGCAAGAAATATCAAGTAAAGGTATCGGAGAGGAGATCAGTGTAAATGAAAACATGAGGCTTATGGTTTTGCTACATATGATGTTATTTTGGAGTTGTCTGTTTATTTTGGAGTTGTTTGTTGTAAGGAATGTATATTATGTGAATAAAATAATAAAGGATTTGGAAGAAAAAAGAAAAACACTGCATAGTGCTAATGACTGGGCACAAAAGACATGCTCTCTACAATACACATCTGCTGCTTTGTACCTTGAGCTCCATCTGCAGATGTTTATTTTTTTAAAAAAAATTACCAGAACTTTGCAAACACACACACACACACACCCCTCACCTATGTGCCTTGGTGTTCCCTAGCTACTCATTAGAGAGTCCATTCCCCGGTGTTGCAGTAAGAAGAAGGTTCATGCAACTATATTGTGAGTAATTTTTAGAGGGCAGATCTTCCTGGGGGTTTAGAATAATCCAGCAAGCATGACTGTGAGGAAGTGATATGATCTAAGGAGGAGAGACCATCCCAAGCAGTATCTCTTCACTATACAAGGAGAATTTAAAGGCAAACAGAGCTGGACAACTTTGTCTTTAGAAGTATGGATGGTGAGTACTCTTAGTCTAGGGCAACTACTTTTAAAGAACTGCCACACTGAATGAAGTCTGTGGTCCAGCTTCTTCTGGACTCTTGTTTTTAAGACCTGGTGGGTGTGTTGTGGGCACTAAATGGAAGACCATTGAATTATTCCACTTGGCCACTGGACACTGCCCCCGAAAATGGGTATGGGGAACATCCAAATGCTTAGGAGAAGGTCACCTGAAACTCTGCATTAGATAGGAATTGAAAAAAACCAAGGGTACGTCTTCCTAGTCTTCAAAGTCAGCTAAACATGAGAAAAATAAATATCATCTATCCCACTGAAATCTCATACATACACTTTACTGCTAATAAGAACACGTAGTTTTTAGGTACACCCACCCCTGAAACACCTGTCAACCTTATTAAGTACTTGACCTTGATGAGGTCATATTCACAACCTATGGGTTACTGATGCTTTGGGTATAGGGAAAAACACATGCCTGTCATCAGTCACATTGACAAAGGGCTGGAGTTAATTTTTTCAGGGTGTGGACAATCAAAAGCAGAAAAAAGATAATATCATATAGCCTATGGGTTGGAAGGTACCCATCCATTTAATCTAACCCCCCTGCCCCTCCCCTCTTCAGCCACCCCAAGGCAACAATGGTGCATTCACAGCTATTGTGTTTCAATCAAGCTTGTTTGATAAGCATTTGTTGCCTTCTCAGATGATTCCAGATCAGCTGCTGCCTTTGAGAGCAAAACCCTGACATGCTTTTTTCATGCTGTGTTCTGGGGTTATTAGCTTGAGCCAGACGGAGTTGTCCATGCTGGAAAAGAAAGCATCCACCCAGCCTTCTTTAGAGCTGATTTGGATATGTGTGTGTTTGGAGGAGGGGCTGCACTTTCTGAACTCAAAATGCATTCTCACTGGCCATACAGTTCTCTGATTATTATTATTGCATCTAGATCAGTTTTGCCCCATGGGATGAGGAGCACAAATCTGTTCCCCACTTGTTTCCATATGAATCAGCCCTTAGATTTAGACATTTTTTCCTATTGTAACTTGAAAAAGTTATCCGTGAGCTCTGGCTAGGGGTGAGTTCCTTGATGCCAGGAGTGGGGAGCCTGTGACCCTCCTAACACTATTGGACTCCAATCCCCCATCAGCCTCAGCCAGCACGACCAATGCTCAGGTATGATGGGAGTTGGAGTCCAACAACATTTGGAGGTCCACCGCTTCCCCATACCAGCTGCACACCATTAATGGCTACGAAGTGAGCCCATGAAACAAAGTAAGATTCTGTCTTGAATCCTGTAACTGGTTTCCTGGGAGTGAGCCCCATTGACTTCAACCCTGAGTAGACATGTATAGGATTATCCTGTTAATGGATCTCACTTTACACCAAAGGTACTACAAATAAACCATCAGATGACTGACTTCTGCCATAACAGAACCCTAGAAGGCGCATGACCCTCTTCGTTGTGCTAGGATGACAGAGAACTTGAATCCAAACCTAAATTTATAGTATGTCTTGCATAATAATGACAGTCTGGAAGTCATCCCATTCTTAGGGATGATTTAAAGTCTATAGGAATAATTCCCTTTAACCTTGTGAGAATAGGAACCTCCATTTTCTAAGACCCCACCGTTGTTGTGCAGAAAAGCTTTCAGAGAAGCGTCCATAGATCACTTGGATTGTTCCCTTAGTTGTAATCCTTACTACAGGGTTGTTGCAAGTGACCCAGAGTTAACACAAGGACTTAACATTAGCTCAGTGGCAGAGCTTCTGTTTAGCATATGGAGAGCCATGCTGGATCAGACTAAAAGCCCATCTAGTCCATCATTTGGTTCTCACAACGGTCAGCCAGATGCCTATGGGAAGCCTGTAGGAATGCCTGAGCACAACAGCGCTGAACTTGCAATTCTCAGCAGGTGGAACAAAGGGATAACGGCTAGTGGCTGTTGACTGGTTAGCAGCTGTTGGTTGTTCCATGTGCTACATACTTGATCCACATTGGCACTTTAGCTACATTGCCTTGGTCATTTCTTGGTGCAAAGGGGACTTAGAAAAACTGAGAAAAAATAAATGACGTGTGTGTGAAAGAGAGACAGAATATACCTTATTTTAAAAATAAAATCTACACAAGATCTGAATGTTTAGAATTAACCTTCTGCTTTTATCCATGGGGCACAATAGCCTAACAATGCTGTGCCGGTCCTCTTAGATGCAGCCTCAACATGAGAACTGGACCCTTGTGGAAGAGTTTGTCTTGGTGGGCTTCACAGGCATCAATGAGGGGCGCCTGCCTCTTTTTGCCTTCTTCCTGGTCATGTATTTGCTGACCCTGACCGAAAATGCCATCCTGGTCCTGCTGGTGGCAACAGAAAGGCGCTTGCACACCCCCATGTATTTCTTCCTCCTCCACCTTTCATGCCTGGACATGTGGTACACCTCCCTCACTGTGCCCAAGATGCTGGCCAGCTTTGGATCCCCTGGTGGCCGAATTATCTCCTATTCCGCCTGCTTGGCCCAACTTTACCTCTTCACCTTCTTGGGCAGCACTGAGTGCTTCTTGCTGGCAGCCATGGCCTATGACCGCTATGTGGCTATTTGTGTGCCTCTGCGTTACCAGGAGATGGTAGGCCGAGATGCTTGCATGCTTCTGGCTGCTGGCTCGTGGCTAGTGGGGTTCCTCACCCCAGCACTGCCCATCTACTTCATGTCCCAGTTGACTTTCTGCGGCCCCAATGTTATAGACCACTTCTTCTGTGATGCTTCTCCACTCATTGTCCTCTCATGCACTGATGTCTCCCTGAAGGAGACGGTTGACTTCCTGGTCTCGCTGATGGTGCTCCTGGTTTCCTCTGTTGTCATTGTAGTATCGTATGTCCGCATTATCTCCGCAGTGCTGAAGATTCATTCCGTCGGAGGGCGTCGTCGTGCCTTTTCCACCTGTACTGCCCACCTGACAGTGGTGTCCATCTTCTATGGGACACTCTTCTTCATGTATGTACGTACTAAGGTGGCCTCATCGATCAACCTCAACAAGGTGGTGTCAGTATTTTATGCAATAGTCACCCCTGTGCTCAACCCCCTCATCTATAGCCTACGGAATGCAGAGGTGAAGGGGGCCTTATACAGGGTTATTTCCAAGACAAAGCAGCTTGCAACGTGACAAAAACACAACCTGATTTCTTCTGGGGGGTTGAGGGTTGGAGGGATATTTTGCAACATAAGCCAATCCTATCTACCTGAGAACCATCCTTAATAGCTCCCTTTGCTCCACTCTTCTTGTTCCAGTCCCAGCTTAACTGAGGGATCACAGGTAAGCTGTCACCTTTTAACCTTAGGTTGGAATTTTTATAGATGGAAAACTATCTTACAGAATTGCTGTTGGTGCAAGATTTCTGTTGGCACGGTAACTGATCCAAATGAGAGTTATGGGCAGGGAGACATTTAACTGCATACTTATCCCCCCCTCCCATTTTATTTTCTGAAGAAAATGTGTAACAGCTAATATTAAAAAGAAAATTTAAAAATCCATCTGTATCAAAATAACAGCTAATGATACTTCAACTGATTAAACAAAAATAGCTGTACTGAACTCCTATCAACACAACATCACATTCTTCTCTGTCACTTCAGCTCCATTGCTGCTTGCTCTGAGGAGTGATATAATGGTCCTAGAAATCTAAATAAGTAAATCCCTTCCCAGAGAAAGGCATGTATCTGTGAAACCGCTGACAACACACCTTTATTATCCCTACATCTTACTGACTATATCTGGTTTTCAGTTTGAACATTTAAACATTAATACAATGTAAGTTTAACAAGAATATATCTATGTACATGGCAGCATTTCCTCCCTTTCAGCACAGGGCAAGGTGAGCCATGAAGTCCCTGTGAAAACACTTTTATTATATTGAGTATTGGTGGAAGGAGTTCTGCTCCTTTCCACATGAACCCCGCTCAAAAAGGAGTGGAAACAGTCCAAAGAAGATGGGAACTCCATTCTTTTCCCCTAAGATATTTGTGCATTTATGTGCTGCTGTCCCTGCCACTATTAACTGCTTAGAGTGGAATTCAACATTGCACTCTTCCCTTCTTTCCATTTCTGCTTGCCTGATTCAATGGCCCCCTCTCTCCTCCCACTGTGTTCTGTTCTGGGGTTATCCTGGACCCACTCCCAGCCAATTTCAAGGGGTGCAGAGGGAGGAGAGAAGAGGAAGCCCTGTTGCATAAGCAGCAGTCTTTGTGCAGGGCTTTTGTTGACAGGACTCATTTAATTGAATGTCACCTTTAATTTTTCGTATGATCATTGTTTGTAGTTTAATTGTTGATGTTGCAAGCAGTGCCGGATTTACGTATAAGCTAAACCTATAGCTTAGGGCCCCATTCTCTTGGGTCCCCCCAAAAAATTAAAGAAAAGAACACCTGGATGTACATTTGCAAAATATAAGAAAAAACAAATGGAATAAAACCTACATACAGCAACAGTGTTTTGTGTTGTGTAGGCTCCTATGATGTAAGTAATGGGCCCCGCATGCTAGCCTGCTCCCTAAAATATCACTGGCTCATTTTTAAAGGAACTTTTGTTATTGCCAAATGCCAATGTGTTTGCATTATTCAGTTTGTTATGAATAAAAAATCATTTTATGTTAGAGCTTAATAATTATTTCACTATTGATATGTTCCTTCTTAATTGTATTTCACTATTAATATACTTCTTAATTGTATTTCAGTTCAACAATTACTTTGATAAAATACATATTTTGTTATGTGCAAATGGCTTTAGATACCTATTAGGTCGATAAATTGCCATATAGCATATATTCAACACAAAAAACAGCGGCAATTTGTTGTTGACAAAGGACAGCTGGACATATAAAGGGCTCCATTAGCTTCAGTAGCTTAGGGCCTCATCAAACCTAAATCCTCCCCTGATTGTAAGCTGCCTTGGGTGTAGATCACCAGTGAGAAACCACCTGGCTGAGAACCAAGGCCCTTCCTCCCATGTGACCCACTAATAATAATAATAATAATAATAATAATAATAATTTATTTATACCTTGCCCATCTGGCTGGGTTTTTCCAGCCACTCTGGGCGGCTTCCAACAAAATATTAAAATACAATAGTTTGTCAAACATTAAAAGTTTCCCTAAACACTAAGTCCTCCCTCACTATTTGTTTGCCAAGACACGCTCACTTGCCTCTACAGCTGATGTCATGCATGACATCAAGTGTGGACAGGTAAAAAGATGGCTGGGCTGGGCCAACAGGGGCTTCTGAAGCAGAGATCAGCTAACCATCGGTGCTTCTAGGTGCTGTGCTCTTTACAAGGGGCTCTTTCTGGCTCCCCAGGCCTGGTGTAGATAAACAGAAAAGTGGGACAGAAACGCTTTTCCTAAATATACATGCTGTCCATTTGTAGCTCATGGAGCATAAGCAAAGCCTCCTTTGCGTGGAAGTTGTCTGCCCATAAGGTGGTCCCTGTTATTCTTCTCAGGGTGCAAGATAATGATGTAGCATTTGGGGAAGAAGAGGCAAGCCAGCAAACCAGCTCCAGAAGCCAGGATGGCGAAGATCTCCACGGCCACTGTGTACTTCCCTGTGGCACTGAGATAGGAGGGCACAAAGGAGACCCAGACGAAAGTGAAGACCAGCATGCTGATGGCAATGTGCTGGGCCTCATTGAAAGCTGTTGGCAGTCGGCGGGCTGGGAAGGCCACCCCTAAGCTGATGGTGGCTAGAAAGCCCAGGTACCCCAGCATGGTGTAGAAAAACTCAACTGAGCCTTTGTCACACTCCAGGGTCACAAGAGGCCCCCCATCTAGTGGGTTCTGTGATGGGAACGGGGGGCAAACCGTTATCCAGCAGACACATACAGCAGCTTGGACAAGGGAGCAGCCCAGAGTGATAGTGCCAGGGAGCTTGTAACCCACCCACTTCTGGAGGCAGCTGCCAGGCTTAGAAGCTCCAAAGGCCATCACCACAGTCACCGTCTTGGCCAGGGTTGCAGAGAGGCAAATGGCAAAGACCAGGCCAAAGGCAGCCTGGCGGAAGGAACAAGTGAGCTGGGATGGGTGCCCAAGGTACATCAGAGGGCAGAGGAAGCAGAGAGCCAGGGAGGTCAAGAGGAGGTAGCTGAGCTTGCGGTTGTTGGCCTTGACAACTGGGGTGTTGTGATGCTGTAAGAAGATACCCAAGACTGACAGCGAGAGCAAGAAGAACAGGGAACTGCAGGTTGCCAGCAACACACCCAAAGCTTCCGTGTAGGACAAGAAGTCAACGATGGTTGGGATGCATCTGTCTTGCTGCTCATTGGGCCATTGTCCTGGAAGGCACTCCCAACAGGTGGCACTGTCTAGAAGGGAGGAGCATGCAGAACAGGGGTGTTCACTGTTCTGGTGTATTAAATAAGGCAGGTTTTCTTTTAAAGGCAGGGACGGAGAATCTGTGGCCAGTGGTGGCGCTTCATGCTCCGGCACCAGGGGGTGGAGAGCAGGCAGGGGCGGGGCTGGCATGCGTCTCGGGGGCGTGGCACGCTGCCTGTGGGGATGTGGCGCCCACCACTGGCAGGGGGGGGCAGTTGCGATGGCACCTCACCAGGATCACATTGCCGGGGGCGGTGCACTCCCCCCGCACTCCTCTTCCTCCGCCAGTGTCTGTGGCCCTCCTGATGCTGATTGGCTACAACCCACTGGCTACTGGTCATACTGAGGTGAATGGAAGCTGTTGCCCAGTAACATCTGGAGGGCCACATGTTCTCCCACCCCAATTTGAGGGCATGGCAATCACACACAATAATATTAGGCATAGAGTCATGCAGTGGCTACAGTGATTGCATTGGTAATTTAGTTATTTGCCGCCTCCGCCACTCAGAAGGACTTGGTGAGGGAGCCTTCATTTCCTATAAGGTACATTTTTGGCTGCATGTGGCAGTGGGTCAGGGTTGCATGCCAGTGTGGGCAGGACTGAATCTAGCTGTGGGTGGGGCTTGTGTGCCTCTTCCCCCTCCCCAGCCTGCACACACACTTTCATGTATATACAGCCTGTGCCCCTATTCTTTCCCACACTCATACACAATCACAATCTCTGCGATCCCCTTGCATGCCTCCCTGCTTAACTGGTGCTGGAAACAATTCAGGAGTGTTCCCCACATCTGTTATAAGCAGTAAGACCCATTGCTTTAGTGGAAATCCAGTGGGGAGAAAGCAGCCCCCCTCAAAAGGAAACTTGCACCATGTGCCATTTTTGCTGGTCTTGTCACTGTGGGACTTTGATATAAAAAACAGTACCATGAGCAAAATGATGCCTTCTGTGCCAGTCTGAAAGAAGGGGTAGGGAACATGTGATCCTCTAGATTTTGCTGGATTACAACTTCCACAATTCCTGATAATTGGCTATACTGGCTGGGTTTGTTAGGTTGGCATCCCAGAATATCAAGAAGGCTACATGTTCCTGCCCCTGCATCAGAAGCCTTCTCGTGGGCCTGGGCCTGATATAGGACATTGTCCCATATATAAGAAATGGTCCTTTCTACCACTGCTGTCCAGAGTGTGACCTCTAATGGATGCATCTTGTTACTGTCTTGGATACTGGGGGTGGGGATGTGGCTGGGGAGGCTACCCGCCCAGTGGTAATCATCAGCCCCTGAAAACCCAATGTCTGTTAAAGTGGTGTTTACCTGTCCCACTGGCAAACTGACCATGGGGGCACTGCAGACAGCTGTAGCAGCAGTGTGGCTTCCCCTGCAAAGGCAGCTTCCTATATCCAGGCAGGCAGCTTTCTGAACAGATTGAACAAGGCACCTAGGAGGAAAAAGGAAATGGAAGACTGCTTACCTTCCCCAGGTGCAGTGACATTGCGGGACTGACACTGTCTCACACGACGAGATCAAATGATGGGTCAGTTCCTGGCTGGCAGGGCAGGTCAGCAAGCCTTCCTCACTGGCTAGAGCTATGGATTCAAGCCTGCCCACAAATTGGTCTATTGTAGGCAGGCTACAGGGAAAGGCCATTCACAGGAGGCAGAACCAACTCAGCCTGTAGGCTTCACTTGGGTCTGCTCTTAGGGAATATAAAGCAGCCTGCCTCCAGCCTTCTCAGCCACTTTGCCATTAGATTCAATCACTCAGTCAATCAACATAGTAATAAATCAAACCTTATCAAGTGTCAACCAATGCATGATTATAAAGTAAGTAAATCATATTTTTAAACTTATTTCCCAAGTTGCTGCCTTATTATTTATTAAGTGGGGTAAGAAGGGGGATGCCTTTGCTTTGAAGCTGGACTTGCTCCAAACAAGGTTTTACAGCCTAAGTTCTAAGCTTTAATTTTTTGTTGGCAAGGGTGGGATTTTAAAACTCTGATCAACCTGTGTAGGAGCCTGGAGGGATAAATTGCAATTAACATACCCTTTCCTGCACATTAAAACCCATCCTACAAAGAGAACCCCCTCAAACAGAACAACTAGGGTGGAGAAGGGAGAACAGTCTGCCTAGTAAGCAGAAATGCTTTTGTTTGCCCCATAATTTCTAGGCCTGATGTTACCTCATTAGAGAAGGGAGATAGGGATAGGGTCAATACAAGTAAGGAACTTACCTGAGCAAGGCCCCCTGCCCACCTAATGGCATTGTCATGAATCAGAAGCTCTTTCCTCAGCTGAGGTCTGGAACGAAGAACTCCAACTTTTACAGCCCTGTAAGAGCCATTGGGCAAAATCTGCAAGTTCATAATATCAAATGTAGCCGGAATCTCGCCGTTCTTGAAAAAAATCTCATCTGATGAAGTGGTAAAGTTGATATCCTTTAGGTAATGATGGACCTAGAATATCAGGAGAAAGGGAAGAAGTGGCTGTTTCTATATGAAACTGATTTTGTGTGTGTGTGTGTGTGTGTGTGTGTGTTTGCTTATATAACCTGATTAATTCAGATGATGATGAGAATAATAATAATTTTATTATTTATACTCTGCCCCAGCCACTCTGGGCGGCTCACAGCACATATAAAAACATAGTAAAACACGAAACATTAAATAGTCTTGACAGGAACAGGCATCAGGGAACCAACAGAAATGTGTTTTCCTACAGGGAAAGCATTACCGGTACATGCTTTTTATCCTACTATATATTTTAGAAAGTGGTTTGTCTTTCTGCCCATCTGTTTTCTGTTCATCTGAACACCTCTTGAGATATTGTTGCCAAATTTGACATGATAATTCCCAAGATGCAGGCACCTGTTTTGGTTTACCTTTGGAATTCAGGTGCTGAGTCAATACGTTGGACCAAAACATTTCAAACTTCCACCCATTTTGGAACAATGGTATTGCAGGAGGCACCCACCAAGAGTGCAATCCTGCTGGCTGAAGGGGTCTTCCCTGCAGGTTACATTGGCAAAGTAGCACCCAGAAGAGCTAAAGTCTCCTGTTTTCTGCAGTGTGGTCCAGAGGAGGAGAAGGAGACACAGCATCTCCTTCCTTCTCCCTGCTTCCTACCATATAGGTTTCTGAAGACCCTAACTATTTGAAGCTGAATCCTGATTGGATGTTCCCCAAGTCAACCCAGGTCAGGTGGTGGGCAGGGGATATGGAGAGCTCTAGAAACTGATAAACAGGCTGGAGGATTTCATTTTCACACAACTCTAGTATCAATCAGGTGTGGCTTACCATTTATTTATTTAACAACAGTTATACCCTACTTGATTGTAATAGAGCATCAAAGCAGTTTACACAATAAAAGGGGGGAAATTATTAATAAAAACAGTCAAAAACAGGTATTTTAAAAACATTCAAAACTAATTAAAATCAACAGTGGACTAAAAACAGATTGAAGCACATGTAACTTCTACATGTCTGGAAGTTGCTTGGTTTACCCAAGTCACTCAATAAGAACCAGTGGCCTTGGAGTTCTTTCTCGCTTCTGCTTCCTGATCCCTCAATATGAGATTTATTGGTGCAACATGGAAAAGTCAAATGGCCCAACCCGAAGCCACCTTAAGATCTGGGCATATGTTGCACTCATCCATATTGAAGATCCCAGTCCTGAACTGTATTAAGTGGTGCAGACTGGATAGGAAGATATCTAACTGAGACAAGTGGAATGGATAGATGGACTGGTTTTCTCTCCAGTTGTATTATAGCTGACCCCAGTGTGCGTGTTTTTGCACATTACCACTAACTGGGCAGGGTGGGTGGGGGAGGCATGCTTGGTTCGAGTTCTTGCCCCATGTCCTCTCTCTGGCCCTGACTCTGCCAAGAATATTGCTCCTTGCTAGCAATGTTTTCTTGTAACTTTTAGAACATTTAAGACTTCTAAAGTTCTTCCAACCTAGAACCCAGTTCTGCTTAACTCTACACAAGCAGAAACTGAGTCTAGACAAGGAGAGGAACAATTGACTCACTTGCCATGGCTGGAAATGCTTCGTTGTGGCACACCTTCCCTGGGTGAAGGGCCCTTTGTCACATATGCAGGAGATCATGTTGTGGAAGGCTGTGATGAAGGCCCTGGCTGCAAGATAGGCCTGATATGTGGCAGCCCAGTTTTCTAGATTGAAGAGGAGCAAGTGGCTGGCACCCACCTGCTCTACCCCAGTGCAGAGTCGGGGTGTGTTTTTTCCATCGGTTTTTTCTAAACCTGGCCAAACACAGTCAAACAGATTTTGCCAGAGCACTTTCACCAAATGGCTGTTGGGATAAGCAGCAGGGCTAAGCGTGGTCAGGAAATGATCGAAACCTGATATTTTATCTGAATGAATCCTCAGATCCAGGCTCCCATTCAGGAGCTGTAACGCCTCCTTGGTGAACATCTCTGGGATCACAGCAAGGCTCGTTGTCAAGATCCACGTCTTACCGGTAACATTTTGTGCTTGTAGAGCCCCGGCAAGCAGCTGGAAGTGGATGTTGTAGCAGTGGCACACGAAAACACTTGCTAGTGAGTTCCCAATGTCCCTAGCAGCTGCACTCATCTCCAGCCGGGAATAGGGGTCATGGATTATTTTGGACAGGGCAAGGCAGCCCCCCTTCTGGCCCAATTCCTTCTTCAAAACGGTCTCCATCTGAGCAGCATCGCTGCCAAAACTCACCACCCCCACCCATGTCCAGTTGAAGTGCTGCAGAAGCTGGCAGAGCATAGAGGGCTGGTGGCTGCTGGAAGGCACGGTGCGAAGGAATGATGGGAAACGGAAGTGGTCAGAAAACTTGGGATCTTGAGAACCATGGCTGATCTGAGGGATAAAAGAGGGAATCATGGATTCTCTTTCAGTATTTTGTACCTTATTCCTTATTGCCTGCTCTCTTCAGACTTATCTGTCCTGACTTGCCATTCTGTCATGGATTTTTAATAAAGCATCCTTTTCATAACAGCATTTTTAAAGAATGCTCAAGGAAAGGAGATACACAGTAGTTGAACATCACCATCATTCTCAATAATAAAATGAATAATGTTTCCATGCAGCTCAGCGGTAGAGCAGCTGCTTTGCCTGCAGAAGGTCCCACTTTTAATTCCAGGCAACTCCAGTCATTGTTGACAATACTGAGCTATATGGACCAATGGTCTGACACAATATAAGGCAGATTCCTGTGTTGCTAAGTGACTACAGTAGGTAAATATGGCTCATGGAGCAAATGGACGCTGTCCTTGCTCAAAGGAGATACGATGGCTGAGAAAAGTAGAGGCTACAGAGTTAGAAAGGCAAAACAGAATATAAGGCACCAAGTCAAAAGAAGGTATGATGAAGAAAAAGTAGCACTTATGAAAAAGGAAACTTCCCAGCAGTTTTTTAAAAGTGTGCAGTGCAAATATCAGAGCTGAACTACACATTACACACAGAGAGATATGCAATGGAATCCACCAAGCCTTCTCCCTTTTCTTTTTGCTCTTTAGGAAAATTATTTTGGAGCAGGAAAGTGTGTGTGTGTATGTGTATGTGTGTGTGTGTGTGTGTGTGAGAGAGAGAGAGAGAGAGAGAGAGAGAGAGAGAGAGAGAGAGAGAATATTTTAAATCATTTTTCTGCCCACCAGTGGCATAGCGTGGGGGGTGCAGGGGGGGCCGGCCGCACCGGGCGCAACATCTAGGGTTAGGGCAAATCCACGGGTTAGGGGGCGCAAATCCACAGGTTAGGGGGCGCAAATCCACGGGTTAGGGGGCGGAAATTACTTGCCTTGCCCCGGGTGCTGACAACCCATGCTACGCCGCTGCTGCCCACTACTTTTTCCCCTCCTGCCTGTGCTCTGTTATCTGTGTTTGCATGTAATGTAAAGTCAAAGGGAATGTAATGACATTAATAACATGTTAAAATAGATGGGTATGGGAAAAGCCTGAGGGAAGATGGGGTTTGTACAAGATTATTAAGTTCCAGGAGAATGAAGAGGGTGAAAAAGAAAATTGAAGGAAGATGAGTAGGAGAGATGTAAAAGGAAGAATAAATATTGTATAGTGATTGCAAAGATGGAGTAGAACTTGATGAAGATAGAGGAAAAATAGGTTGGGGATGTTAGATGCTAGCAAAATAAGTCAAAGGATTACGGTAAACTGTTATGTTGCACTCCTAAGCACAACTACTGAGGAAGGAGCTCCCCTTAAATTCTGTGAGCCTTCTGAGTAAATATTAATAGATCTGTGCTGCACACATTTAGGATGAAACATGTCAACAGCTATACTAGGACAGCATCACGTAACAATATTATGTTGACTGACATTACAGGCAGGCAGGTATATAGATTGCAGCATGGTACACCTAACAAACTTCTTAAAAATCTGTCATCTGCATCCCTACATTACCAGGAAGCACAATAATACAGAAGCCAAGGCTGGCCAGCTGAAATCTGTCTTCTGTTTCCATTCATCCGGTAATTCCTGCAGCACTGAGTTGCTTTATTTACATTCTCTGTTCAACTATGTGAGTTGCCAGTATCTTTTCTCTCTCTCTCTCTCTGTGCTGACCAGAGCATGGAGATGTTCAGAGAGCTTGGAATTAAGAGCTGGAGCACCCTGAGCAGCTCAGCAGACTCCACCTGTGCCATAGACAGTACTGACGAAATGTTCCTTATATTTAGCACCCAGGGTATGATGAAATTAGTTAGCAAGGGCACTTTCCCAGTTCTTTGAATGAGAGATGGAGATTTCATTTTTAAGTTGGAAGAAGATTTTGATAAGGAAGTCCAAGGTCTCTATCCATCACGCAGACAAAATGTTCTGCTAAATTAACACATTCCAGCTGTAGAGAAAGAATGAAAGCACACAAATGTGTGTACATGTGTATATGTCTACAGCAATTCTTACAATTACCCTGTCAAACCCATTTGATTACTTTTTGTAAACTGAGACCATCTAGCAGGATATATAATTGATCTTCCTAGGTACACTGCTTACCTGAGGAACTCTGTAGAGGGAAAGCACTTGTGCTATGGGCTCTGACTCTGGGGAAGTCATTGCGCCAATGATACCGAGAAGCAAAGGCCGAGAGCTGCAGCTGAAGTTAGGCACCAGTTCTTGTGGGCCTGATAAAAAAGAAAGGGCACCTTTCAGTGCTTTGGCTGGTGAGATGCATGAGTCATAAAGCTGGAGGCCCAGGGTGATATTCTGTACCAAGCCGGGGTCCTTATTTGCTTCTGAAAGGGCAAAGAGAATGGCCAGAGTGTGCTGGAAAAACCGAATGCGGAATCTGAAAAGGAAGTTTTGAGCACAGTTGGTATTTGTCTGAGCAGATGTTTATCAGAAGATCCGCCCCCCACAGAAGAAATGGTCATTTAAACACAAGAATTATTCTTCAATGCAACCTCCTTCTATAGGTCTAGCATGGATTTGATCCTAGTAAACTTGTGACTTTCTCCCTTTCAAATGAGAAAATGTTTGAGAGAAGGCATGGGTGAGCTTACTCATGTGTGCAGTTATAATGCTCCTGCTCTGAGACTCCCGTCCAAGCTGAAGAAAGGGAGCACAAAAAGTCACTTTCTAGAACCTTGATTTGAGCTCCAAGGTTAATGATAGCCAGCATAATGATGTGTGTGGAGAGTGTCGAGTGCATTGGACAGTGTTGGACTTTGACAAAGTGGCCTTCATTTTACTCCCAGTTCATCTGTGACTTGGGCCAGTCACAAGGCTCATCCAGACATCTTTTTTGTGCTGCATTTCTAGGCACAGGTCCGAACTTTAAAGCTCCATGACTGAGCCTTGTTTTTCTTTGTTTCGTCCCCGTGCTTTCTCCAGAAAAACCCACACTACCACAAATGGCAATGCAACCCAAAAGGCAGTCTGGATGAGGCCCTCGGCCTAAACCTTCACAGAGCTGCTTTGAAGATAAAATGGGATAGCTCCTACAAAGGTCACCTTAGAGCACTAAAGCGGTCTCTGGCCCTTCATATGTTGTTAGACTCCAAATACCATCACCCCCAGTCAGCATAGCCAATCGTCAGGGACAGGGATGATAGGAGTTGTAGTCCAATAAGAGGTTCCCCATCCCATTCTTAGACTGAGACATAAATGTAATCTTACAGCATAACCTGATTACTCAGAAGTAAGACCCACTGAATTCAATGGGAACTGCTCTCAGACAAGCGTGCATTGGATTGCAGCCTTAGTCTTTCTGGCAGTAGAAGCAGACAGTGTTTCCTTTACTTTTTGTGACAGCCACAGGTTTTTCTTCCATTAATTCTTCTTTCTATCCATTAATTTCCTCCATCTTAAGAAATGTATTGGAAGTGAGACTTACCCCTTGCAGCTAGCTGCCTGTGGCAGACTTTTGAGATGTGTTATTGTGGAGTGCACACTTGCATGGACAGGGGAGACTACCCCAATTACCACATCTCCTTGAACTGAGAAATCTGGCATGGCAGCAGACATCTGAGGGTGGCCTTTAAGCCATTTGTTGTTTACTGAAGAAGCTTCCCAGAGCAGAACAGGAAAAGCGAGTGCAAGGAAGCCTATGGTATTCATTTTCCAGTGGATGGCAGTGTAGAGGATCAGCACTGGGAGAAAGTGTTCCACACGGAGGTCAGGTCTGTGCTCCCCTTGAAATGCTACACAAGGTGAGCAAATCCTCTCAGTTGTTGATCATCGGTCCATTGAGAAGCTTCATAAAAGCTGAGTGCACTGGCCTTCCTTGAAGATAATAGCTGAGCTTTCCACAAGAAGGCACACAGAGAGGAACTACCCAGTCTCTGGATAGTGAATTCAGTTAACTTCTTTGTTGCGCTATGTGTGTCCTTCTTGGTACATTACCCTTGCTTCCTGTGTTCGAAGTGTGCGGTGAACACAGTCATGACATATAGTACATATATGTCTCCAGGATATTGTATTTCTTCTGTGCTTCTTTATGAAAGCAACTTCTTCCAAAACATCAGACTTACCTCTTTGGGGCATAGCATAATCAATGAAAAGTCTATAATTGAACTAATTATATGTCTATATATCCCCCTCCTAAACTAATTATAACTTTGAGTCAAACTTCCTCTATCTACTATATATTTGGAAAACTGTTTGTTTGCTCTGTATTTGAATACCTCTTAAGATATCAACTCTTAAGACAACTTTTGCATGATGTTTCCTGAGATCAAGGAGCAGGTTTGGATACAACTGGGCGCCATCTTGAATCAAGATGGCAGACCGCACCCTTAAAAACTGCAGTGATTTTAACAAAATTTTGTTTCACAGTTCATGAGATTAAAGAGCAGGCTTTTGCTTATGCTTGGATACAACTGGGTGCCTTTTTTAAAAAAAATCAAGATGGCAGATCTGCACTAATTTTTTTTCTTCCTAGAATTCCCAAGCAATGCAGGTGCAGGGCTGCTATTTATACCTGGTTGTGTTTTATAATAATCACAGACGGCCATCGGGATCTGAAAAGGAAACAACAACTAACTCGTCCTTCTAACTAGCAGCTGAGTGGCTGATTGGCAAGGGTGTCCTTCTGCAATAGCTCTGGTAAACCAGGTTCCTCCAGGATGCTGAGATTGTTGCTATTCTCTTGGTTCTGTGTCTTATTTAAAGGCATTCCCTCACCTAGGTAAGAACAAAGTGGTGTAGAAGTAAATTCTTACCACACCATCAAATTATAAAATGTATTAATTTAAATATCTCTTTAGCATTGGAGTATATCTTTAGCACTAGGATAGTAATAATGGACTGGTTTGGGGGCACATGGGGAAGAGAGAGAGAGACTGTCAGGGAACAGTGGTTTGCAGAGGGACATAGTTCAGAAGGCAGAAGCTGGGAAATACTGGATGGGGAACAGCTCGGAGAAGAAACACTGGAAGAGAGAGGCTTAACAGATTCACTGTCTCTGGGAAGCATTCCTCCGCTCTCCCCAAGGTCAAGAAGAGCTCAGAAAGTGGCAGAACAGAAAGCACACAAAGCACAGAGGGTACAAGCTCCGATTGCAAGACATAGAAATGACGTAGATTAATAGGGACGTAAGGGGATGGGACGCGGGTGGCGCTGTGGGTTAAAACAAAGAGCCTAGGACTTGCCGATCAGAAGGTCGGCGGTTCGAATCCCCGCGATGGGGTGAGCTCCCGTTGCTCAGTCCCTGCTCCTGCCCACCTAGCAGTTCGAAAACACGTCAAAGTACAAGTAGATAAATAGGTACCGCTGCGGCGGGAAGGTAAACGGTGTTTCCGTGTGCTGCTCTGGTTCGCCAGAAGCGGCTTAGTCATGCTGGCCACATGACCCAGACGCTGTCTGCAGACAAACGCCAGCTCTCTCAGCCTATAGAGCGAGATGAGCGCACAACCCCCGAGTCGGTCATGACTGGACCTAATGGTCAGGGGTCCCTTTACCTTTACTTTAAGGGGATGGGATCCTTGATTGGGAGCACCACCATGTCTAGGAGATGTGTTCTTTGTTCTCTCGCTGGGATTATTAAAGTTTCTAACTGGTAAGAAGACTCATTTTCCTTTGTTCTGCCTATCTACTGCCACAGGGGAGGAAGCCAATTCCCTGAAGCCTGACACCAACCCTGGAAATTGCTTGGGGACGCTGACTGTCCTGTCCTGAGCCTGCCTACCTGAGGGCAGCCAGTGCACATAGTGGTGGTGGCTGGTCCCAGAGGGTGAGGGCCAAGAAGGGCACCCAGCAGAACTGGTGCCAGGATGGGGGCGCAAACGTGTGGTGGAGGCAGGGAGAAGGCACCTCCTGGCCTGTGTCACTGGTCAATCAAAGGCTGCCATCCCTTGCTTGGGCAGCAATCCTGAGGGAAGGCCAATTTATTTACTTCGCAGCAGCTCACATAAATGCAGTGGCGCGTGAGTGGAATGCATGTAGTAGTGGTGTGCCTGTATTCATGCCAGGCCCAGCTTTCCCTTGGTGCGCATTATATTAGTGAGAGGAATACCATATATTCTTCACAGCTGGTTTTCTCAATTCAAACTTGATTGAAGTGGCACTGGATGCAACCATGCAGTTCAGTTGACCACCCTATTCCTATAAGTGTTTGTAAAGTCCTCATGAAAATTCAACAGCATCTTGGCACAACCTTCTTCTAATATGCACATGTTTGTATTAAATTTGGCTGAACAGGCACATTTTTGCAAAGCATTTCCCCCTAAAATAATGCATTCTTGTATGTTATTTTCAACAAAATATGCCTGTTTTGTGGACATTTTATCCTAGTCTGTGCATTTTGGGACACATTATTTGGCTGGGGAACTGCACTGCAGAATTCAGAGAAATTTGAATTTTGAAGGATGTTTTGGTTCTTGTATGGTTTTTGGAGCAAGCAGATGACATAGGTTCACCTTTAAATGTTAACTGAATTGAACTTGTCCCCCATCCCTAGATGTGTACATAGAAGGTAGAAAGGTTGCCGTGAGATTCAGTAATAATGAAGGGAAAAGCCGAAGGTAAATTTTATTTAGGAAAACGAAAACAAAAATTAACTATACAATAAAATAAATAAAATAGCACACTGACATAGGAAAGGATGTGTGTGAAATGTCATGTTGTTGTTGTTGTTTAGTCGTTTAGTCGTGTCCGACTCTTCGTGACCCCATGGACCAGAGCACGCCAGGCACTCCTGTCTTCCACTGCCTCCCGCAGTTTGGTCAGACTCATGTTTGTAGCTTCGAAATGTCATATGCTGGGGCAAAATATCTAATAGTAGTAGAAGCTCATGAGAGCACCAGATTATGCTCCTGGGCAGTGAAGTCACCTCTGTCTTGAGCAAGGCTTGAGATTGAGATAAGCATGCAGCTGGCATTTATGAAAACAGAACAGGTGGAAGTTTGAAGAGAAACTTTCACTGTTGGTGTCCATGAGTAGCTTAGCAGGTAAACCATTTTAGCCTGGCATAGGTAAGACAGTTGCATTCAAGACATCTTTTATCATCAAGGCACCATTGCTAGACCAACACCTACATTTTTGTCACCCCTAAGTTTCCTGAACACTTTATTATACATATCACCTCCTCTTGTGCTAATGTTACCTGCTCTGAATTTCAAGATGAAAATATTCAAGGACTTCTTTTGAAGTTATATGGTGCACCCTATAGCACCATTCTAGCCCTCTATTTCTCAACAAGTTAGACCTTTGCATAGAGATTATTGTAATTTAAAAGAATAGCTGTTATTATCTCATCTTATTATTCTTACTTCAACGTGTGCCCCTTGGGCCCAATCCTCTGTAATTCTTGCATCTTGTCTTTCTCCCAGTGCTTATTTCCTAGGAGAAGAAAGGCCAAGTCCCTGGTCAGAGAATGCTTTCTTTTGAGCGAAATATGTTCTGTTTTTTCCAAGTACACCCATAGAGGCTTCTTATATTACTTTAAATATGTGTTATGTATGAAAGTGTCACTTAAAAACAATATCTACATGGGTATCACTGCAGAGGTGAATTCAGAAACCAACCACAGGTTATACGAGTTCCTTTTTTCTTTTTCTTTGCAATGAGACAGATGGAGATATAACCATTCCTAAGTAACACTTGTACACAATGTAAGACATGGGTCTTCAGAGGCTTATCTCTGAAGTGTTATGTTGGAAGTGCTGCTAAGCACGGGTTGAGCTGCAGTGCCAATCTCTTCCCAAGAAATGTCATGACGCCAGTTGGAAAAGGCTATTGCTTCTACCCTTGCTGCAGAGGTCGCCTGCTATTTCCACAACGTGCAAGTCTGTCCTCTGCCTTCTATGCTTGACTTCACCAGCAGAGCTCAATATTACTTCCATAGTGAAAGTAATCACACATTACTTTAGCACTTTTTGCAGTGAATAGGGAGTGAAGGAAGATAATGACAAAGAACTACAAATAGGTTTGGGTTTTTTTAATCTTAGCTGCTCCTGGGAATTATTTAATACTGTTTTCTTGACTTAAATGTATCACTTCGACCTAGATCATCTTCACTATAGAAAGCTATTGCTGATGGGAGCAATTTAAATAACTTCTAATTCATAACTATTTCTTTCCTACCCTATCCCATGGGCTCCGTAGGACTCACAAATACACAATTTTATTTTCAGCTGAGAGTAGCCTAGTGAGAGAGCTTTGCCTAAGGGACAAACAAGACACTATAAGTGACACAGAGGTGCCAATTAGTCATGCCCCAAACTTGGATCTTAGAATCCAGGAATTCTCATTTTTTTATACTACTTTTTCCCCTCTTGAACCAACAAAAATGATGTGCTTGCCTTATGAGGAAAATGCAGAATGGGGAACTTTGTGTCTTTCATAGAATCATAGAGTTGGAAGGGACCACAAGGATAATCTAGCCCAACCCCATGAAATGTAGGAATCTTTCACCCAACATGGGGGTCAAATCCAAAACCCTGAGATTAAGAGTATCATGCCCTACTGACGGATATATTCTTATGTTCACTACATTTCCCTGAACAATGAGTAGGTACTAAAGGTTCAAATTTTATCTGGGTTTGGTTTACTTGGGAAAGAGGCCGCTGAAAGCTTATTTGACATTTTGTAATATTTGTGTTTAGTTACAAATATACATGTTGAGCACAGGTGGAGCCAGACAGATTAAACACTCTGACAGAGAACTGAACCTCGCAGATCTCCAGGAAAGACAGCCAATGGCCTCAGATCTTTATACACTTACAGAGCCCCCAACCAAGCTCTTTGTTTCAGCTGCAGTCTATTGTTCTTTTCACACACAGGAGTGCTTTGCCCTCTGGCTAGGAGGTGGATACTGTATGAAGATGAGTCGCCCCTTCCGACCTGGTTTCTTAGAACCAGGCAGAGGGCCTTCCCGGTGGTGGCGCCCGCCCTGTGGAACGCCCTCCTGTCTATCTGACTTTTAGAAGACAGCTGAAGGCAGCCCTGTTTAGGGAAGTTTTTAATGTTGAAGTTTTATTCTGTTTTTAATGTTCCGTTGAAAGCTGTCCAGAGTGGCTGGGGAAACCCAGCCAGATGGGTGGGGTACAAATAAATTATTATTATTATTATTATTATTATTATTATTATTATTATTATTATTGGGATACAGCAGTGTCGTGGGGTTTCAACACTCTTTCAGTTACTGCCTTGGGGCAACCCACACGGATAACCCTGTTCCCAGAAATCATGTTTCCAGAAGAAAAGCCTCTTTGTTTCTAATTGAATTCAAGTTGAGTTCTGTTAGATCTGACTGAAGACCTTTTTAGTCCAGCATACAAAATTCAACCTAGGATAGTTCTACCTTGAGAGCACACAGATGGGTGTTAACTGTGGGTTGGGTACAGCTCATGCATGTAAAGTATTTTGTAGAGATCACATGACATTATCAGCACCAAAGTGCCCTTTAATTCAGATTTACTCTTTTTTGGGGGGAAATCTGATAAGTTAAAACAACAACAACAGACAATTGCCAATATCTGAATGGTCCATTTGCATCATTAAGCCTCTGTCTGGAAGCACCCATCAAAATATTGCTCTAAGTTACCCAGAAGCTGCTTAGGCTGGCTGAGATAACACATGTTGGTCCTCCTCTGGGGCCTAGAAGTGATTTCTCCATAAAAAGAGGTCAAGCAAACTTGTGACCACCAGCCTGCAATGCATGAAGTTTAGTGGCATTCAGATTCCCTTTGGAAGATTCGGTGTCTGATGACTTTCCTCAGGGCTACTTTCATCTCTCTGTTCCTCAGGCTGTATATAATGGGGTTAAGTAGCGGTGTACCCAGAGTGTACACCATTGATAGCATCTGGTCCTGCTTTGGAGAAAAGCTGGAGCTTGGGCGCAGGTACATGAAGCTGCAGCAACCGTACTGCAGGGCCACTACAGCTAAGTGGGAGGAGCAAGTGGAGATGGTTTTTCGGCGACTGTCTGCAGAATGGATCCGCAGCACTGTAACAGCGATGAAAAGGTAAGAGGCGCAGATCAATATGAAGGGTACAGCGATGGCCGTTATCCCACTGAGGAACACCCCAGCCTCATCGAGCTTGGTCTTGTTACTGGTGAGCTTTGATACAGGTGGCACATCGCAGAAGAAGTGTTCAATTCCAAGCTCGCCACAGAAGGGGAGGTGGAAGACCAGCCACACCAGAATGAATGAAATCAAGAAACCAATCAGCAGGGAGGCAGCCACTAGCTGAATGCACAGCTGCTGCGTCATGATGAGGGTATAGTACAAGGGTTTGCAAATGGCCACATAGCGGTCGTATGCCATGATGGCCAGTAAGAAGCAGTCGGCACTGCCCAGTCCAATGAAGAAGAACATCTGAGCACAGCAACTTCTAAAAGTGATGGACTTCCTCTCCTGCAAGCTGGTCAGCAGCATCTGTGGGACTACAGCTGCTGTGTAGCAGAGCTCAACCACAGAGAGATTCCCCAGGAAGAAGTACATGGGAGTGTGTAGGTGAGGGTTGCCCCAGATAGCTACCATAATGAGGACGTTACCTGTGATTATGGCAGCATAGATCACGCTGATGCCCAGGAAAAGTAAGATCTGACACTCTGGCTGGGTGGGAAAAGCCAACAGCATGAAGTCCAGCACTGCAGTGCAGTTCCCCTGGAGCATCCAACCGTCTAGCTCCCGTTCTACAGAGTAATGAGGATGAAAAACAAGATAGCATCAGTGCTAATTAGAGAGCCTGGATGTATCTGATATTGAAAAATAGGCTCCAACAGGAAAGGAAACATACTACCTGGAAGAACATCAAGTCCACTGACTAATGAGAACATCAAGGCCAGGACTCAGGTGCTCATACCAGGCAAAAATGATTTCATTAATAAACTGTAATGGTCAGCTTTGTGTTTTGATTACAAGTCCTTTGATTATCAGAGCTTAATGGGAGCCCCAGTTTTATGCTTCAGTTTCTAGCCCTCAAAGTTTAGAGATAAACTGCAGTTCATTGCTAAATATTTATAATCCAGAATTTGAGTAAGAGGAAATAAATTAAATATAAATTATTTCTAAAAAATGTGTTTCATTTTTTGACAGATCACCCAAATTTATCCAAAGAATATTGACAAAGTTAGATACGTAGCAGGATTACAAAAATGTTGGGAATAGGATTTGTGTTATGCTATTGAGCCAATTTAATGGGAAAGACTATGGAACAAGGTGCATATGAAATCAATCTCAGCGAAGATTCAAGAATAAAGTAATATTTAGTCACTGGTAATTTTATCACACATTAACCCCAATCTGTCCCTGAAATGTTAGCATTGAAGAACCCCCCCCACACACACACACACAAAGGAATGCATTTTCTCTTATGGTGGCAGTCTTGCCCAGAGGCAAATGGTGTTCCTAGAAATCAATTTTATAACAAAACAAGATTTGATACCAATTAGCATTACTGGTGGTATGGGATGGGCCAAGTGACGATGGTTTGGATGAAGAATTGATTTTGTACTTATAAGCTGACAATATGGTTATTGCAAGAAAAAAAGAAATATGTAGAAGGATTCAATAAGGAGTTGTAGCATAGTCAAATCTGGTTCATAGTGAAAGCTGAAAAACTAACTCAAAAAAATTTAAGATATACTAGGAGGACAAACAAAACAAGATCCCTTTTCAACTATGTTCACATGCCTCCTTTGAAATATGCTGCTATTTGGAATTCTTAATAACATTTCAGCTTTAAGTGAGAATATCACAAGACTTAGATGACAATACCATTATATATATATAGTTTAAAAATACTACTCTCTCAACACCAATTAGATTATTTTTTTCCAAGGAATGTGAATAAAATGTCCTGAATTTATACTTTGTGTGTGTGAGTTACATTTTAATTCAACTGTATTGTTTTTCTTTATTTCTTTATCCTTGTGTGTTATTGGAATACATGTTCTTGTTTAAATCATTAAAAATTCTTTTAAAAATCCTATTGCTTCTAGATTACTGTTATTGAGCTGAGGGTGGAAACAGATATTCGGCAGCAGTGCCCTGTTTGTGGAGTGGAGGAGCGGGGAAGGGGCTGCTCAACTCTTCTTCATACCCACAGATTCTGGCTCCTTTCCCTCACTTGCCTGGGGATCACATGTGAGCTCCTACTCTGTAGGAAGTGTTGCAATGGAAAGGTGATGAGTAGCAGAAGGATTTCAATTTATACCTTGCCCTTCAGTTCAAAGAATACACATGGATGGCATCAGGTCACATCCACACCAGGCATTTAAAAGACTCTTACACCACTTTAACAGTATAGAACCCTGAGAACCCTCAGCACAAAGAGCATAAGAGTTTCTATCTATGGGTTTCTTCAGTCCCAGGTACTAAGTCTTACTATCTGCAGGAAGCTTAGCCAACGGTGGTCAGGGATGATGAGAGCTTTAATCCAACAACAAATGGGGAGCAAAGGCTGAAGGACACGGCTTTAGGGAAACAGAATCCATGCCATAACATTTGCATGTGAACATCCATAGAAGCCAGTCCATGGTTCTTGTGAAACAGTCAATTCCACCCCCTGAACTCTTTCCCCACTTTCCTGTGCAGGTTATGATTCATCTTTAGCAGTGTGCATTTGGCAGCAGGATCACACTGAATTACTGCCAAGTTCACAACTCACCACCACAGGACGCAGAACTGGGAAGGACAGTGCTGGTGTACTGGCTCCTTCTTTTCACTGCTAAAACAAGAAGCTTCTTGTGATGTGCTTTCTTTCAAGAGAGAGGCTAGGAGGTTTTCCAATGCGCAGATATGTCCTCCTGCCTGTAAAGCTTTGTAGATCTATGGATGAAGAAGTTTTCCTACTGCATCCTCCATGATATCCCCAAAGTGATCAAGTTTAATATATTTGCCTTGTGACACATGGGATCCAGCTAACCTACCTCCATGAAATACCCAAATGGTTTCCTTCTCCGTGTAGGGAACCACTCTAAAATGGTTGTGTAGGTTACCAACTAAGCCATCAGATTTGTTTTTGGTTTTTGTTTTAAGTTATGACTTCCGTTTATATGAGTGCCTTATGTTGCTTGCAATTTCATGTAAAAAGTGATGTGCCTACTGTTTGAATTGGGAAGGATAATACATCTCCTAAGCATTATTACTCACCTGTGAACCAATATGGAATGACAAAGAGAATAAATTGCAGATTTGAGATATCAGTCTTCTTGATATGACATTAATTAAATACCATGCAAATTAAATAGAATTGTAGAATTGTAGAGCTGGAAGGGACTCCAGGGGCCGATGTTAGAATTCCTGCTCCATGACTGCAGTCATGGGATTGTTGTCTTTCACATGACGGTGTATGTTTTGACTGCACAGAGTGGGAAGTGATGGGGACAGATTGTTTGTGTTACTGTTCCGTGAAGTGGGACTATTGTCCTTTGTTCATTCTCTTTTGCTGTCTGATGCTAGAGAGAGAAGGAGCCATGTTGCAGTGCTCCGTGTGTGTTTATATGTAAATAAAGTAGATTAGCCAAAATGCTGAGTTGCTGAGGTCTGTTACTCAAACTGCGAAGACTCTACGGATCCCTAAGTGTGCCAATGTCTGTTGGCATCGGTCGCTGTGATGTTCGGGCAGAAGAAAGCTTTTGAAGCTCCCGAACGATCAACCAGGAGGGAGGGAACATGCCAGTCAGACATGTGTCTCTGCCAGGGTCCTCCTCGAGAGTAGGACGAGCTCCTGACAGTCCTTTAGTCTGACCCCCAGCTAAAGCATCAGTGACAGATGGCTATTCAATCTCTGCCTTAGAACCTCCAATGAAGGAGAGTCCACGTGGCGTAGTGTGGGTCCTCTGCGCCTGGAGCATGTATGCATGCACCGGGATGGGGTGGGGAGTGGAGGATGGCCATGCCAGCCCCAAGTCCTCACCACAGACCAAACCTCAGCAGCCTGAGCCAGAGACAAGGGAGACGAGGGGAGGGAGAAGGGGGCTCGAAGGGGCACCCCATTTGCAAAGGAGGAGGCCACGAGAGCCTCTTGCCTCTCCTTGGTGGGTGGTGGTGGTGGCACCCACCGCATCCCTCTCTGTCAACTGCCCAAGGGTGGCGGGTGTGTGGACATCCCTTTGCCGGCCATGAGGAGAAAGAGGCACCCCTGCTGCTGCCCTAGCCCTGAATGCGCAGCCTGGGCATGGCTTGGCAACTGAGGGAGCCTGTCATGGGAGTGCCACGGGCCACCACTACACCCCTGGAGTCCACAACCTCCTGAGGGAGACCGTTCCACTATTGAGCAGCTCATACATCAGAAAGTTCTTCCTGATAGTCAGAATCTCCTTTCTTGTAACTTGAATGCATTGGTTCAAGTTCTACCTTCCAGAGCAGTAGAAAAGAAGTTTCCATCCAAGGTAGTCAAGAACTAATTGAGCAGTTGTTTTTATTATTATTGTGGTGCCTGTTGTTTCTATTTATTGATCACTTTCCCTCAAGGCTATGTAAAAATAGAACGGACCAACTAAAACACAGTGATGAAACAACACAAGAGTAACAGAAAATAATTTCAAACACTATGCAAAATGGTCACCTGTGGCAGAGACTTCCATCTAGGAAAGCTTGCCTAAACAAAAAAGTCTTCATTTATGTAAAGTGCAGGTAGGAGACACCAGCTGAATCTCCGTGGGAATGCTGTCAACAGGCCTGTTCTGTGGTTTAAACTTTTAAGACGAACCAGCCATTTTTATCATTATTCAATTTTGTGATTAATTGTATTATATTTATCCTGTAAATCTTGCTGTACACCGCCAAATATTGTGTGTGCTGGTCAAAGCTATGACCTGAGGATCAGGGATAACATTAGGTCTACAAACATGCCCACATGTCAATAATAGCAATCCCACTGGCCTCTGGTAAAGTCCCAGTTCTAAAAACATTTGTTCTCAGTGTGGCTCCTCTCTTGAATCAGGCACCCATGGCAAGGACCCTGCTTACCCCACCCTAGTTCCAGCTCTGGTCCTAATCACCTTCTTTAGAGCCTGCTTGACATCCTTGTTCCTCAGGCTGTAGATGAGGGGGTTTAGCAGTGGAGTGACAAAAGTGTATATGAGAGCAAGATGGCGGTCGTCATCCTCTGACGAATCTGTCTTGGGACGCAGGTAGACAAGGCTGCAGCACCCATACTGTATGATCACCACTGTCAAGTGGGAGGAGCAGGTGGAGAAGGCCTGTTGCCGCCCAGTTGTTGAGCGGATCCGCAAGATGGCAGTCACAATGTAGATGTAGGAGATGCATATTAGAATGAAGGGAATAGTTAGGACCATGACACCAACACTGTACAGCACAGTCTGGTGCACACGGGTGTCGGCACATGCCAGGCGCAACACAGGTGGCACAGGTGGAGTTTGGAACTGGCAGGGTTAAAACTCCGTGGTGCCCTGTATCTGGGAGGAGCTCTAGGAGGAGCTTGATGCAGGGAAATGCGTCACAGTGTGTGTCTGTGTTCAGTTCTACTTTCACTTCTGACTGAGACAGACACAGCTCAGCTCAGAGGAGCTGTGAGGGTGCTTTTGGAAGCACGGAGAATGGCTGAAGTTTCCGATGGATGTTAATGGATTTATTGCCTTGTAAATAAACGCTTCTAAAGATAAGAACCGATCTGCCTATGGACTTGATTTATCCCTTTCTCACATGGACTCAGGATCGCTGCATTACTCTGCTAGGCCAGCTCAGAGCTTCCAGGGATACGGAGCTGAACTGGGAAGCTTGCTGGACCCAATATTCCGGACGGGGAATTTATTTTCACCCCCAGAGGTTATGGATCTTACGTGTTTCCTGACATGTGTGAGAAGGGAGGAAAACTGCCAGCTTTGAGTTGCTGTGATCTCCTGCCAGGAAGGGCAGTGGGAGATGCTGGTGATCGGAGCCAAGAGCCAAGATAGACGGCTGCTTCGGAGGACCAGCTTGCTGGCAGAGTGAGTACGCTTGAAGCCCCGGGGGGAGGAGATGGCTGCTGCTCAGGCACAGGGCCATGAGAGCTTCAATATCCCCTTCGAAAGGCTGCATGGGGCCAATTGGGAAGCCTGGAGTACACGCATGTACTACTGGCTGGCAGAAAGGAAGCTTTGGGATTACACCCAAGCTGATCCAGTCCTTGCCCAGCCCAGTGAGAGGTCTGCAGGAGCAGTGGAAGCAGATGTGGCTGCTCTGAAGAGAGAGCAAAGGGTGCTAGCAATCCTGAGGGCCAGCGTTGATACTTGGCTGTTGCCAAGGCTGCAAGGGAGTAAGCCCTGGGTCGCGTGGCAGGCACTGAAGATGGCATGTCAAGCCTCAGTGGGAGCCAGGCCAGAGGGGGCTGAGAGTTGCCCAGAGAAAGCATCAAGCCCAGAGGGGGCTGGAGCAGTGTTGGAAAGCTGCTTTTATGCTTCAGCACATCTGTGTGATGGACTGTGTGCTGGAGAGAGGCTGAGAGCTGGCAAGAGGAAGGCAGTTGCAAGCTGTTCCTCAGGCAGACAGGCACCCAACAGTGGGGGTGCAGGCCATGCAAGCCGACGCAAGAGCTCTGAGAAAGCGAAAGTCTCCAAGAGTTGTTTGTGCTCTGAGGCGACGTCCAACAGCGCTGGGAAGCATCCGCTGGAAGCCCAGGCTGTCAAGGACACCAGCTGGAGTGGAATGTCAACAAAGCAGGTTCCCAGAGCTAGATGTGGGAAAGCTGCAGGCCAGGAGAAAAACAAAGACAAGGCGTCTTATCACCTCACAGCTGCGACAGTGTGCCTGGGAAAAGGCAAAAGCCTTGATCGGGGGGAGGCTGTGTGCATGGCAACCAGACAGAACACTGACTTTGACTCTTGCAGAGGCCCCGGTGGGGGTGCGAGCGTTGCCATAGCAGCTTTGGAAGACAGCCAGAGAGACACTGTATCTCTAATTATAGACACGGGAGCGACTCACTGTCTTGTGCCATCTGCTGGGCTCCTGAGGAACTGCAAGACAGTTAAAACTGGACGTTATGTCAAAATGGCAGATGGAGTTAAAAGACCACTGACTGAATCTGGGTCTTTATATTGTTCTTTTCTAGATTGTTGGGTGCAAGCTTATGTTGTCCCAGAGCTTGCGCACTCTCTTTTAAGTGTAACAGCCTTAAATGATGAAGGGTTTGATGTTCGGTTCTCTAACAAATTATGCTCTTTTTACAGGGATGGAAAGAAGGTCTACAGCGTTGAGAGAACAGACAGGCTCTTTCTGGTGCAGATGCCTGTTGGAAATGGGGCTGGTGGAGAAGTGGGACTAGTGGAAAATGGGACTGGTGGAAAAATGGGGCTGGTGGAAAATGGGGCTAGTGGAGAGTCCATTGAAGACGCACAAGTGCAGTGTGCTAATGTCCCACCACACAATGATTGTATTCATCTGTGGCACCGAAAATTTTGTCACGCTGGGTGGTCGTCTGTGCGAAAAGCCGCAGAGAACACCATTGGTTGTAGGTTCAAGGCATGTGACAGATACCTTGATTGTCAAGCCTGTAAGCAATCTAAGGTCACAACATGCTCATACCCCAGGTCAGAGAGGCGAACCAGCAAACCCTTTGAACTTGTGCATGCAGATTTGTCAGGACCCATGCCAACACCTTCTTTAGCTGGGTCGAAATGGGTTTTGGTTCTGATTGACGATTTTTCGAGGTTTTCTTGGGTTTTTGCGCTTCAATGTAAGTCAGAAGCAGCTGCACTGATCAGAGATTGGATCACAGCGATAGAGCTGCAGTTCTCTACCAGGGTGATTTCCTTTCAATCTGATCGCGGGGGTGAGTTCACAGGTTCTGCGCTGCAATCGTTTTTCAGGCAGAAGGGTATCAGTCATCGATTGACTGCCCCCTACAGTCCGCAACAGAATGGGATTGCAGAGAGGAAGTTTCGCACACTACAGGAATCAGCATACGCAATGTTGGCAGATTCGGGGTTGCCACAGCGTTTTTGGGCTGAGAGTTATCGGACAGCATGTTTTGTGCAGAATAGGGTGTACAATTCCAGTGTAGGCAACACACCGTATTTTTTGTTGCATCAGAAGAAGCCGAAGGTGGGGTTTTTTCATGTTTTTGGGTCTCCGGCTTGGGTTCTCACTCCAAAGGCCATGCGCAGAAAAGGTGAGCCAAGGTCTAGGAAGATGATCTTTGTGGGCTATGAGCCGGGTTCAAAGGCGTGGCGTTTCGCATACCCTACTGGCAACCAGTCCAAGCTGCTTATTAGCGGCAGTGCTGAGTTTTGCGAGCAGAGTGGGTGGAAACGTCTTCACGGGAACCCAGATGTTCTGTCAGACTCAGATGAGGAAGAGGAGGAAGGCGAGGCTGAACCGGCTGCTGATGCGCACGGTCCACAGCAACAGGGTCCAGCGCCAGTTTCTCCAAAAGGGAGTCCCAGGACTCCTCCACAGGTTTCTGTCAAGTCTGAGCCAAAGAGTGAGCCCTCCCCGCCTGCAGAACCAGTTGTGAGGCCAAAAAGGCGCAGCAGGTCAGAGGGGGAGGTTTCTGACACAGGAGATGGTAGGGTTGATCCAGGTGAATCAGGCGCAGTTCCAGAATTCACGCTGAGGAGGTCAGCAAGATCAACGAAAGGAAAGCCACCTGAAAGGTATGAAGCCACTAGTGTTTGGGTTGGTGTGGCTAGGTGTGAACCTGAATCCTTTGAGGATGTTCAGAAGTTGCCTCAGCAAGAAGCTAGCAAATGGTGCGAGGCGATGCAGAAGGAGATGAACTCAATGGAGTCTCATGGTGTGTTCTCACTCACACAGCTGCCGGCTAACCAGCGAGCTGTTACTTGCAGATGGGTTTACCGATTGAAACCCACAGAAGCAGGAGAACCACAGTATAAAGCGAGATTAGTGGCCCGAGGATTCTCACAGAAAAAGGGGGTACACTTCACGGAAGTGTATTCGCCAACCTCGAGAGCAGAGACTCTGAGAATGCTTTTGGCGATAGCAGCACAGAGAGGTTGGAAGGTGAACCATTTTGATGTAGATGTCGCCTACCTGAACTCAGATCTCAAGGAGGAGTTGTACATGCTTCCTCCTCTAGGGTTTGAAGTCAGTGAGCCAGGCGTCGTGTGGCGGTTGCACAAATCCATCTATGGATTACGTCAATCTGCCAGGAATTGGAATATGTGTCTACATGAAGCCTTAGAGGAGCTAGGTTTTAAGAGATCTCTTGCAGACAGTTGTCTTTACATTAGAGGTTCAGGCTTAAAACAGCAAGTGGTGCAGGTGTTTGTTGATGATATCTTGGCAATGGCACAGACAGGTGAACAGGTGGAGAAGTTTGCTAAAGAGCTTGGAAAACGGTTCAAGCTGAAGCAGCTTGGAGATGTCAAGTCTTACCTAGGCGTCCAGATAGCGAGGACTGAGGATGGTAGTTTTTTGCTTTGCCAGAAAGGTAAGATTGAACAGTTGCTTGAGAAGTTTAGGATGAGTGATTGTGCAGGAGTGAGAAGTCCTATGGAGACTAGTTTTGTGAAGGACAGTCAGCAAGTAGAACGCGCTGCGTTCGAAAATACTGAAGTGTTTCAGTCAGCTCTAGGGAGTCTGTTGTATTTGTCCCAGTGGAGCAGACCAGACATAGCATTTGCTGTCAATCTGCTCAGTAGAGAGGCTGCAAGTCCTAGTGTACAAGCCTGGAATGGCATCAAGAGAGTTCTGAGGTATTTGCAGGAAACCAAAGACTTTTGTCTTAGGTTGTCAGCTCAAGGAGAAGTCAAACTGACTTGCTTTGTGGACTCGGATTGGGCTAACTCTGAGGATCGCAAATCAGTATCAGGTCTAGTGATGAAGTTTGGGGACTCAGTAGTTGGGTGGAGGTCCCGGAAGCAAAGTCTCATAGCGCTTTCGTCTACTGAAGCTGAGTTCAGTGCGCTATCAGATGCTTGCAGAGAGCTGGAGTTCTATGTGTGTTTGGTCGAAGAAATCTGTGAAGAGGATTGTCTGCCCGTTGTGGTGCATGAAGACAATCAACCATGCCTTAAATTAGCTGAGACGGGGCAATTCAAGGCGAGGACGAAACATTTGGACATACGTTTTCAAAATGTGTGTCAGAGCGTTCGAGAGGGGCTAGTTGCTCTGAAATACTGTCCCTCAACCAAGAACCTCGCTGATGGTTTCACAAAACCATTAACCTTCCAGAAGCACGAGGAGTTCTGTGAGGGTCTGTGTATGGGGAAAGCATTGTTGGCTATTGTCCCCAGATGCAGGACAAGAGGGGGTGTGGAGTTTGGAACTGGCAGGGTTAAAACTCCGTGGTGCCCTGTATCTGGGAGGAGCTCTAGGAGGAGCTTGATGCAGGGAAATGCGTCACAGTGTGTGTCTGTGTTCAGTTCTACTTTCACTTCTGACTGAGACAGACACAGCTCAGCTCAGAGGAGCTGTGAGGGTGCTTTTGGAAGCACGGAGAATGGCTGAAGTTTCCGATGGATGTTAATGGATTTATTGCCTTGTAAATAAACGCTTCTAAAGATAAGAACCGATCTGCCTATGGACTTGATTTATCCCTTTCTCACATGGACTCAGGACCGCTGCATTACTCTGCTAGGCCAGCTCAGAGCTTCCAGGGATACGGAGCTGAACTGGGAAGCTTGCTGGACCCAATATTCCGGACGGGGAATTTATTTTCACCCCCAGACGTCACACAGGAAATGGTTGATTTCGGGCTGGTGGCCACAGAAAGGCAAGGTGAAGATCAGCACTGTCAGCTCCAATGACAACACAAGTGCAAGGATCAGTGAGCCAACCACGAGCCATGTGCATACCTCCCAGGTCATGATGAGGCTGTAGCGAAGTGGGTGGCAAATGGCAACATAACGGTCATATGCCATGACAGCCAGCAGGAAACAGTCTGTGCTGCCGAGTGCTACAAAGAAGAACATCTGTATGCCACAGCTTGCAAATGGGATTGGTCTGTGGGCATCTAAGATGCTGGACAGCAGTTGAGGCACTGTTACAGTGGTGTAACAGATCTCCAGAAAAGAGAGGTTGCCCAGGAAGAAATACATGGGGACGCGTAGGGAATGATCTGTGCAGGCCACCCAGATGATGGAGACATTGCCAAAGAGGATGGTGAGGTAGAGCAGAAGGAAGAACATGAAGAGAAGACCCTGGATCTCAGGAACAGTGGAGAATGCCCGGAAGATAAACTCATAGGCAATGGATTGGTTGCTCTGGTTTGCAAGTGCCAAGTACATCGCATCAGTTACTGTACAAAAGAAACAGTGGGTTAAACATCAATACATAATTCATAGTTATCTCACTGGAGCATGTGGGATTCAAATACCTGGAAACTTGATTATCAGCCTCGGACTTTTCACTCCCATGCATCTAATTTACCACGTAAATATTGTGGTCGCCATGAATACAGACTGAATTGGTTTTAGATCCTATACAATGCCTCCCATGCAAATGTCAGTGAATCCTTATGAAATATTACTAATAATTATAAAATATTTTTTGAAAAACAGCATGCAACTTTCTAATCAGTTCAAAACTTTACTTACAGAATTTAACTCCAAACAACATAAAACAAATAAAGTTACATTCACCTAGTAGCATAATTTCCCAGCATAAGGCATAATAATTTAGATTACAAATATATTGTATTCAGAGCTAAAATCAAAACTCAGTCTCTTCTCCATTGCAGCCTCTTTTAGCCTCAGGCTTTGTGCTCACACAGATTAACACATCCATTCTCTTCCGCAGCCTCGAACAAAAAACACACACCCAACGTGGTTGCCTTGCAGATTAGCATATGCATAGACCTGTAATACTATCTCTTTCATGTGACTGTGAGCTAAAAACCTTGTGAATGAGCTACAAAGATACAGTCCCATTAATGATTAATCCGGTAAGCTCTTTTCAATGGAAATTTCCAGTCATGTCACATACTGGCACATTATATATTTATTTCCCATTTCAATATACATTAAACAATTAGTCAAAATAAAAAAATCCTTCCTGTAGCACCTTAAAGACCAACTAAGTTAGTTCTTGGTATAAGCTTTCGTGTGCATGCACACTTCTTCAGATACGTATCTGAAGAAGTGTGCATGCACACGAAAGCTTATACCAAGAACTAACTTAGTTGGTCTTTAAGGTGCTACAGGAAGGATTTTTTTATTTTGACTATGGCAGACCAACACGGCTACCCATCTGTAAATTAAACAATTAGGTAAAGGTAAAAAGCTAAAGGTAAAGGACCCCTGGACAGTAAAGTCCAGTCAAAGGCAACTATGGGGTGTGGCGCTCATCTCGCTTTCAGGCCAAGGGAGCCGGCGTTTGTCCTCCACAGACAGCTTTCTGGGTCATGTGGCCAACATGATTAAACCGCTTCTGGCGCAACAGGACACCGTGATAGAAGCCAGAATGCATGGAAACGCCGTTTACCTTTCTGGCGCAGCAGTACCTATTTATTTACTTTCACTGGTGTGCTTTCAAAATGCAAGGTTGGCAGAAGCTGGAACAGAGCAACAGGAGCTCACCCCATTGTGGGGATTCGAATTGCCAACCTTCTGACTGGCAAGCCCAAGAGGCTCAGTGGTTAGACCACAGCGCCACCCGCGACCCCTTAAACAATTATACTTAACAAGCTGTGCATGCCTCACTGCCTGTCCTGTGCCACATAAAATAGCCTGTTGGCCTCAGGTGCAGTGACAGACACTGTTCCTTTGCTGGTGTTTGAATTAAGATTCGGCTGCCAGTCCAGCATAATTGATATAGGTGGGGTTGGGGGAGAGCAGCTAGGCCAGGGAGAGTGACTGGAAATGGAAAAGTGGTGAGCGTGAAAGGGCAACCTACACTTTGCCCTTAAGCAAATAGGTGATTGGCCACTGTGGGAAGCAGGATGATGAATTATCCCTTTGGTCCAATCCAGCAGGGCTTGTCCCCCCTCATGTTGCTGATTTTTAAAGAGTATCTCTCACTGCTGGTCTGACCTTAATGCTTCAGTTGTGAAAATATTGGGTCCCCTGTTTTCATAAAGTTGAAGGTGGAACGAAAGAGGAATTGCTGCTCATGTACATATACACTTATCCAGCTTTTACCTCAGGCAAGCAAGTTTCAAAAACTTGCCAAGTCTGTTTGACCAGATTCAACAATGGCACAAAGGAAATGAGTGGACACTGAGAACTGAAAGCCTCTCTCAAAGCACTTCAGATCTTCATTCACTGTCAGGTATAAGAGTGGGAGATACACACTCGGCCTGAGTGTGCAGACTGGTAAAATATTACACTGCTGTTTATCTTTTTTACTTTAATAAATCAGTTAGATGTGTGCTCACAGACACAAGAGGAAGAGGCTCCAGTTTCAATAGCTAGGGCAAAATGGATAAAACATAGATTAAAGGAGAGTCGGCATTTGTGGAAGAGGCACCTAAAGAAATCTTTTGCCCATTCTGGCTTGCTTTGGTTGTAAAACTAACAAGTGCTGTTGTGTTTTTAAAAAGGCTCTTCTGGCATAAGTTTTTGTGGAGTATGGCCCACTGCATCAGATGCATCAAGTGTTTTCCTGAGTCCAAGATAGCCTATGCCATTAAAAATGCTTTATTCTTAATGGTACCACAAGATTCCCTGCAGTTTTTCCTGCAACACACTGACAGCTGCCCCCTCAAGACATTGTTTTGCTAAGTTTCTCTTCTGTTGACTGCAGTTCCCTCATCCATTTGGCCAGAGCTTTTAGAGGCTGCATATTTCACTTCTTCAGTAGTGAGAGTCAGTGCAGTGTAGGGGACTGTAGAGTAAATATAGGGCTTATATGCACACTTACCTTTCCTCCACTCTTTCCAGGTACAGTCCATGATTTAAACTCTGTGTCTGAGCAACCCCCCCCTTTTTTGCTTTGGATTTACCCTGTAAAAAGCCATTCTTTAAAGCTCAATCGGAGCAAATATCAATCTGCAGAAAATGCAAATTGAGTTTGCTCCAATTCAGCTTTAAAGAGTGGGTTTTTGTGGGGAAGAAAGACCCCCCCCAAATGCTCAGACACTGAGGGTTATATCGCAGACCTCTGCTTGGAAAAAGTGGGGCAAAAGGTAAGTGTGGATAATCCCTTAGACCTGGGTTCAAATCGCTACCAGGCCATGAAGGTTACTAGATGACATTGGGAGAGGGAGGAGGTATATTATCTCTTCGGAGGAATCATGGAATAAACATAAATAAATAAAATTAATGCACTTTAAGCAGGGACAAGATAAATCCAGATGCAGCTCTCCACCCACAGAACATAAAGGATTTCCACAAGATTGTTGTGAGAGAAAAATGGAGAGGGAGAGAGAACCTTGCATGCTGATAAAATGTTATTAATAAATACGTAGTACTTCACTGAGATCTGCAGCACTAATGCAAAGCTGCATTAGCAAGCATGCTCAACTGCATTACAACCCCCCCACCCCAGCTTTTCAGTCCACAGGAACAATCAGTGAGTATCAGCATAGTGAGAGAGAGGACCATTGTGTGCAAAAAGATTTGCCTTTCTGGTTCCAGAAAAAGTCCATTTGGCCCAACATTCAGTTTCCAACAGTAACCAACCAGATACCTTGGAGAGCTCACAAGCAGGGCATGAAGATAATGGATAGCCTTTTATCCCCAGCATCCTCCCTATGCATGGCACAATTGAATAAATGATTTTTCATGAGTATTCTGTCAAGCAAGGATGGAGAGTAGCTTGTGGCTCTTTAGATATTGTTGACTGCATGCTGATTGGGGCTGAGGGAAGTTGAAGTCTAACAATATCTGGAGGGTCACTAGCTCCCATCCCTTTGGCAAAGGATAAGAAGTGGATTAGGCATGATTTGATTGATTGCATGTAACCCGTTTAAGAATAACATGGAAACAACTGGCTATATTACTGGCTATGCCTGCAAGGGGCTCTTCTTACCTTGCTAAGTTTCTTCAGACTCACAGGATGACAGTCAAAAGTGAGTGCTCCTTCTGGCGATCTCCTTTGGCTGAGATATTGGTTCCCCAAAAGGAAGGCAAGTATTAACAAGCAAGTGATATGTCCAGCGTTATTTTCACCCCACTCAACTCTGTCACCATTTCTTCTGCAGTATAGCAGTGGATCTTAGGGTATTCTGGTTTATTTGCTAGGGTGGAAAGATATACAGAGACCTTCTCCCACCACTGAAATATCAACAGAATCAAAGCAACATCAACCATCCATGCATTGCCACCACCTAATCCTCCAGACAGGGTATCACTTAGCTTTTTTCCAGAAGAAGCGAATTATCCCCAGTAGAGTTGTTAGGTATCTGTTGGTTTTTGTTTAGAGGGAACATCACCCTCTTCTTCAGAATTTCTCTATTACAAATATATTTATCAAACAAACCCCAAAGGTCAATGAACTCATGATAAACACATTACAGTCTTCCTGTCCCAAACAGTACCTATCCACTATGGAGGCAATATCTAATTGTCACAAACTTTGGACTGATCCAAGCCAAAGTATTCAATGACTAATTGACCAGTTTTTTGGTAGTAGACCTAAAGCTTGTAAGCTTCCCTGCTGACAATGACACCATCTTGAATATTTTCTAGCGTGCTCTATCCCCCAACAATATATAGATAGTAGTAAATTTGGGAAGCTAAAAACTACATTATCTTTGCACTTTCCCCACAGTCAGGCCACAAAAAGTGCATCTTATAGATTCAGCACAATACATATAAGGAATCAACATCTGGAAGTGGAGTGGGAATAGCGATAGAGATCATGGTATCACAATAAAAGAATTATAACAATGAACTACATTTCCCAGCCATCTGCTCACCACTAGAGGTTGCCTATAAATAGTAAGAAATTTCCTCAGTATATGTTCCTGTGCTGTTCCATTGGTATTATAATGTCAGATCCACAAGATACATTTAAAGCACAACAAACTCACATTTAAATCCCCTCACAGAGCTATAATTTCCAGCACACTCAACAAATTACAGTTCCCATGATTCTTTGGGGGAAGTCAAGTGATTTAAATGTGTGTTGGATGTACTTTAAATGTATGGTGTGGATCTGTCTATAGTTTCAAGGTGGAAATAAAAGGAGTAAACCTTGCACGAAGCCACACTATCTTTAGGCACAGGTGAAAAATGAATTTAAAAATCAGAGGGAAATAAACAACTATGATTTCTAAACCTGCAACCACCAACCAGAATCTGCATACCTTTTATTCTTCTTTTGCAAACTGTGAGTTTTTCTGAGTGGAAAAACATTAAAAGAAAGATAGGGGAAAGCCATGGGAAATAGCAATGCTCAACAATACAGCATTATATTAAGTGCTCTGTGAAACTTGCATTTTGATTCCACTTCCAGCATGGGCATAGCTCAGGCATAGGCAAACTCGGCCCTCCAGATGTTTTGGAACTACAACTCCCATCATCCCTAGCTAACAGGACCAGTGGTCAGGGATGATGGGAGTTGTAGTCCCAAAACATCTGGAGGCCAAGTTTGCCTGTGTCTGGTGTAGCTCAAGAACTTTTCTGGGTCCCCTAAAAAAAGCCCCCACCCCTAACAAAATCCTGGCTATGTCCATGACTTCCAGCATCAAAGGACTCTGCTGTTGAAGTAACCCCAATTCCATTGCACCAGTTTCTTGGAGCATTGGTGAACCACATCCCACTGCGTGGAATGTACCTCCCAACAAGAAATGGGAGATCATCCACCCAAGAGATCCCAGAAAAAATTATGGGGCTTTGATAATGCTT